CCCCTTCCTGGCAGCATCCTCTCTAGACGTCACCTTCCACCTGGTTGGAGACTGGTTCACTGTGGTATACACTGCCACTGTCCTTAGAGTCTGTCTGTCTCTCTCATTGAGACTATTTTCTAGATTTCATGGCTTCCTAACTTTACATTTTTTTCTATAAAGCATATCTTCCAGAAGCTTCTTAAGAACGATTCCTGGGAAGTAAATTTCTTAACATTTTGCCTGATTATTTGGATATACTTCTTGGCTGGAAACTATTTCCTTTTGGAACCATGAAAGTCTGGCTTGCCGTCCTCTAGTGTCTCTCACTTCCCCTGGAAGGTCTGGCCAGATCTGATTCCTAGGCTGTGGTCCAGGTTCCTTCGCCACACATTGAGTTCCATCTTTCTAATCTATGTCATCCAGTAGCAGCCACCCATTCATTTTCTGTTTTCCAAAATTGTGTTTATTTTGCTTCTTCCTCTGTTCTTTTGGGTTTATAACATTATTTTTCAACTGTTACTTTGGTATGTGATGGTAAAACTTTTAGAGACCTAGTGCTAACCTGCAACCCAAAACCCACTAATTTATTGCAGAGGGTCAACTGCACAATTAAACTTTTGAATACTGTCTTTAGTTTAGAGTTTAGTTTTAGTTTAGAATAATTTCTTAATGTCTTGCTTTGTTTTGCTTTTTGGCTTTTTCAGATAGGATCTCATTGGTAGTACAGGCCTTGAACTCATTATGCAGCCCAAGCTGGCCTTGAACTGACAGTGATGTCTCAGCTTTCTGAGTGCTGGGATTACAGGCATGGACCACCACACCTGGCTAACATCTTTTGTTTCAAAAAAAAAAAAAAAATGCAATAAGGTGCATGCCATAGGTTTGCCACCACTACCTTAGTGGGTTGCAGGAGGCATCAGAGATAATTACTGTTGTTGGCCATGTTTCATTAGAAATCTGATGACATGCTTTCCATAAAATACTTACAAGGAATACTCCTAAGATTTTTTTCCAGACTAATTAACCAAGTAAGAAGGTTAATCTTATGTATTAGTTTCTCTGACAGTATTTTTCTTCTCATTATCTTCAAATGTTCTGTTAAAAAAAATCTAGCTGGGTATGGTGGCATGCACCTGTAATCCAGCATTTAGGAGGCTGCAGCAGGATTGTCACAAGTCTTAGGCCGCCTTGATGGAATACATGGCAAGTTCAAGGCCAACATGAATTATAGTGAGACCCTGTCTCAAAACAAAACTTCTTGTAATTCTCTTAGCCACTATTTCCATTTTAAATGAGAAAATGGATCAAATTAGGGTCATACTAAATAGAAATAGAATTTGAATTAATAGTTTTAATTTTATAGTTCTTTTTCTTCTTTAATAACAACTTCGTTCATCTTTCTTTATGTATGTGAAGATTGTCAAACATGGAAGAGGATACAACAGGCAGAGTGCACCCTCTTGTCATCTTGACTGTGGGTGACACACACATTCAGGTTTATCACTTGTAATGAGCACACTCTTGTTGTGGGAAACCTTGGTAATGTGGGAGCCAGGGTAAATGATTAGTGTGCATCCCTCTCAGTTTTACAGTGAGCTTGAAACCTTCCTAGGGTCTGTCCTAACAGGGCTCAGATGATCTTTCTCTGCTTGTCTCATCTAAGGAGATTCCATTATCCAGTGTTCACTCTAGCACCTGCTGCAACCTGCAGGTGTTTACTTTGCTTGTTTACCTCCTTATGATAGCAGTCTCTCATAGGCTCTAACCTCTTAAAAGCCACCTAAGTGCTAACATATTAGAAAAATCAATAAATATTTTTCTAATTAAAAAATGTAAGGCAAGACTACTATAGAAACCCACCATATTTATCAGCCAGATACTGTATCACTTTCACAACCTGTAAAATATTTTTCAGGAGGTATATTTGAAATACAAAAGAACTTTTAAAAATCACAGTGCCATTATTATACCTAACAGAATGAGTAATTCCGTAATTTATTCTAAACCCAGTAACCAGTGTACACACTGTGATCAAAATATACAGCAAATGATCAAATTTTAAATGCATTGCAGTGAAAAAACATTACCATTAATCCCCCTCAAAAAATACCACCTCTTCCTTTTTAACTCACTTACCTCATTGTTCTTGCTACTTTATGAAGCAGTTCTGGAAGTCCTCATTCTCAAATGTTGTAATCAAAATTACAGGAATGCTGAGTACCATCCAGTGGAAAACCAGGCTCGTAAGCCATTACAGTTGTCCTCATCTTTATTCACTGAATCAGGTACCTGTGACTGCCTTCCCTAAAGTAAAAATGACCATGAAAGGGAAATGTATTGAATAGATTCAGGACATTGAGGCATTCACAGTAGCACAGTTGAAGACACTCAGAGGATTTCAGAGCTGCTTCAGAAAGTGGCTAGAATGATGAGATCTGTGTGTTGGAAGTGGGGAGAAGAATTTTGAGAAGGAGTAATATCAATGTGTCTTTTACTGTAATAAATTTTAAAAATTTTAGGAGCTGGGGATTTAGCTCAGCAGCATAAGCGCCTAGCCTTGCAAGCAGGCAGTTGTGAGTTCGATCCCCGGTGCCGATAAAAAGGAAAAAGATTAAAAAAAAAAAATGTAAATATCTCTCCACTTTTTTTTTTTTTTTGGTCACATCTCATATTTCTGTTTGTCTCCAAAGTGTATTTTCACCTTTGCTTCAGATAGTATTTGGGCAGGGTCCACGGAGAACATTTGGTGGTTTTTGTTCTCACACACATTCAGTCTGTGATAGTCCTCCTGTCTTCCCTTTTCCATACTGTTTTCTTTTGGAAAAACTTCCTGTAGATTGTAATTTATTCTTTCTCTATTCAGCTTCGGAGCTAGCTTGAGGTAGGCCAGCGCTCTACTGCAGAGCTCCATCCCCTCCTTGTGCCACATTGCAGATTTAAGATAGTGCTGCCTTTTGATGTACTTCACACTCAACTGTCCAGCATTTCCCATCAGTGAAACTTCAGGTTCAGGTTATGAATAATCCTTGTCAAATCCCACTCTATCCACCCATCACCTAATGAGTTTAGCACCCATATGGTCCAACCTCTTACTTCATTAGGTGTTACACATTGATGGTTCTAATTACATCCTGTGCTATGCATTTATTAGCAGTGATTCTTAATGAAGGACTTTCTCTTAGCTATTGGTTGCTTGGAATGAGGAAGACAAGATGGATGGTTGCTTTTTTGCCCTTTTGATAGTTTTGGAATAATGAGTTGATACCCTGGTGGCTTCACTGTTGATGAACAAAGGGTGTTTCTTAGAGGAATTGTGAACCAGGGTCTATGGATGATATCTAAGATGTTTCAGGGAGTTGCAGACATGGTTCAATGCTGATGTTCACATCAAGCCATTAGTGTCCCCTGTTAGTCTTTGATAAACTCTGGTTTTGACACAGGATGTTCCAGGCTCATTTTGTTCAAATGGCCATTTTGCCAAGGAAATGTTTGTTTTGTTTTTTTTACTTCACAGATAATTTTAAAAACAACAGGATGAGGTTCTAGTAGTTGATTATACAGTGTTGTCTTTGAGACATTTTCTGTGGACAGATATAGGCAAACATGCTTTGGGAAGACTGTTTGTTAACTGTTCTGTTTTTGTGCTTGTCCCAACTTAGTAACAGAAGTATTTGTTGCCTTCTTCCTTTTCCTCTTCCTCTTCTTCCTTACTTCCTCATTTCTCTCCCATCCCACCTAAGGGCTAAATGTAGTTTCTTTATGTGTACTGGGGTGGTACAGTCAGAATAGTGTGTAGGATACATACTGATTTCTTCAGTTTATACTTACATTGTTGCTTTTGGGGGAAAGAATTATATATTTAATGTGAAGTATGTTTTTAAAATACATTTTGGGTATTCCCTTATTTCAAACAATGGGACCAGAAGAGTTTCAGAGTATGCATATATATTTTACCTCTGCCTCAATGAAAGGTAGCATAGATTATAAGCACTATTTTGGTACTACTTTTTCTCTTGATCACAGTTCTGGGGTTTACTTGTTACTATTTAGAACAACTTGTTTCTTAGAACAACTGTATAGTAATCCTTGTGTCTACTGCTGTGATTTATCTAGTCAGTCTTTTAATTCAATCTTCCCTTTAATCTTTTTTTTTTTTTTTGGTCTTTTTCCTTTTTATTGGTACCAGGGATCGAACTCACGACTCCCTGCCTGCTGCTTGCAAGGGAGGCACTTATGCCGCTGAGCTAAATCCCCAGCACCCCCCTTTAATCTTAGGGAAACACTGATGTCAACAACTCTGATGTAGAATTTATTAGTATGACTGAAAATTTTAAAGTATGGAAATTTCTTTATGTATTATTTTCTTAAAATTGGTGATCAGAAGTGAAAGTTTTCATGAAAATGGATTTTACTCACCTAAGCATCCTGATTTAAATTTGAGTCTTAAGATTTTGTTATTTAGGTTTGTCTTTCTCTCTCTTTTTTTTTTTTGGTAGTACTGTAGATTAAATAAACCCTTTATATTGAGCTATATACTCAATCCAGGGTGGGCTCAGACTTTATATCCTCCTGTCTGTCTCACAGAGGGTTGGGATTATAGGTATGTGCCACGCCTGGTTTAAATTTGTACCATTTTTGATATGTCTTAAATTTATAGACTTTGACAATTTTGATTTGCCATAATAGGAGGATACTTCATTATTGTATTTAATCTGTATTTTGTGCTTTCCAATTTCTCTGTGTCTTCTACAGGGTGAAGTATTTATCTGCCATGGCTCTAGTTTAATATGCCCAGATCACTGTAGTTCTTGTGTGGTTGTTTATGGTTTCTTATGCCCTGGGGCATATAGACAGAAAAGTCAATATTAACATGAGTGGCATTATACACTGCTTTTGCTAGACTTACAGTAAAATTTTTAAATTGAAAAAACAACTTATCTTTGTTGTTTTGCCATCATAATTTTTAGTGTGTGGGTGTGACTGTTCTGTCCTTCATAGCCATCTTTCCTCTCCCCCAGATATTCTGCCTTACTCAGTACGGGTCCTGCTGGAAGCTGCCATACGCAAGTGTGATGGCTTCTTCGTGAAGAAGGAAGACGTTATGAACATTTTAGACTGGAAAACCAAGCAGAGCAATGTGGAAGTGCCCCTTTTTCCCGCTCGTGTTCTTCTTCAAGATTTTACGTGAGTGATAGGTTTATATTTCATAAATTAATTTTCAGGGTCTTGGTTTAAAAATTAGGGCTCCTTCATGAATAGATGTTTTTCTTTTTAAATTTGAAGGTTAGTTTATAAATTTTTTAAAGTTGCCCTTTCTAAACAGAAGTGATTGATAAAAATTAGGCACTAGTTTCTTATGCCATGTATTCAAAAACAGCTTTTCTTTATGCCTGTTTGTTATCTCTGTACAGCTACTAGTTTTCTCACATTTAACTTAACAGACCTTGATTTCTTCATTGCCCATACCATATGACATATTTCTTTGCAACTTTCTCTGTCATAGTAAATAAATGTAACCATGGAGTTCCATTAGGCCAAAAATCTAGAAATTGGCCTTGATTCTTCTCTCTCCCTAGAGCTCTATTTGCACTAGTGTGTCAGCAGATTCTGTCAGTGCTACCCTGAAATGCATCCCATGTCCACATATTCCTTTTATCTGCACTAGTATCACCTGGCTCTGCCTGGACTACACTGCGGCTGTCTCAGCTGGCATCCTTACATCAACACTTACACATCTGCAGTCTGCTCTTGACACTAGAGTGAGTAACTTGGTTATAAAGTGTTTATCAGGTCACCATACTCCTCAACACGCTGCGTAGCTTAATCCAGAATCTCTTACATCCTGAGAGACCTTGGCTGATCTGGGCATCCAAGAGTTATTTGAATAGTTGACCCTGAGCTGAGTTTGGGAAGAGGCTGAGGAGTTGGTCAGAAGATCCCCTTCATGTACCACCCAAACTGGGTCTGTGGACCACTTCATGTGTATGCTGGTATTATAACACCATACCATGCCCTGATTTATCTTACCAATTTTTTTTTTTTTTTCATTTTTTGAGACAAAGTCTCACTATGTAGCCCAGGCTGGACTTGAATTTGAAGTGATTCTTTTGTCTTAGTCTCATGAGTGCTAGGATCACAGGCCTGTGCCACTACATCCAGCCCTTACCAGTTTCTTCAGAGCCAGAACTATGTCCTATTGACCTTATACTATTGATGTCTGGCATGTAGAAGGCACTGGCAGACGCTTGTTAGACACTTGACTGAATATATAGATGCATGAATGTGTGGTGGCAAAGGCTGACAGAAGGCACTGAGGGAAAGTAGTTTGAGCTAAGGAAAAAGGAAGAGCTATCAAAAAATGGAAATCAGGAAAAAACTCCACAGAAGTTTTCTTGATATTCCCTTAGGCCTCCAAACATTAACTTTTCTATTTCTTTTGGTCCATCTTCCCCAAGCACTGGAATTCTTGAATAATATTTCTTGTTGATTCTCGTTAAACCAGTTTGCATCTAACTTTAAATAGTAAAGACATTATCAAAAATGAATACTAGCTAAAAAAAGATAACTTTAAAAAATAAAAATGAGTAATGAATAATGTGTTGTGGTTTCTTGTTGGTTTTGGGGATTGAGCCCAAAATGTCATACATGCTAGCCTAGTACTCTGCCACTGAGCTGATTTCCTACCATAGTGTTAATTATTTATTCACATTTATAAATGATCAGAATTGGAATTTAACTGTTCTGTTTGTAGTGGAATACCGGCCATGGTGGACTTTGCTGCTATGAGGGAAGCAGTGAAAACTCTTGGAGGTGATCCTGAGAAAGTCCACCCTGCTTGTCCAACAGACCTCACCGTTGACCACTCCCTACAAATCGACTTCAGCAAATGGTACATTTATGCAGATGCTGAACCAGAAGGGAAGGGGTAGCAACAGTGGAGCCAAGGTGCTGGGTGCCAAAGTAGGGTGTGTTGCTTGCGGCTCACTGGCACGTTCAAGGCATAGCAGCTGGTGGGAGTGTGTCTGTACTTGGTCCAGCTCTAAAGGCACTGTCATGTCTATTTTTACTGCCGTTTTTGATAGAAATAAGCTGAAGACCTACTTTTTGGACTAAATATCTGAATTATATCTTTGTTTCCTTTTTGTTTTTTAAAATTGCCTTTCAGAGAGAATCCCAACGTTTGTCTTTTAATTGATAGTTGAAAACACCAAGGTCATTACAGCTCCTTTTTCATTTTGCTTATGCTTATGAAACCCCTTTGACCGAGGCAGAGCAGAGAATACCTGTTTTGTTGTGGTATGTCAGCCTTCTTTCACATTCCCTGGTGCAGCAGAAAAATACTACAACTTATTATAGCCAACAAGAGATTTCACTCTCTACTAAAACTATTGGCTTTGTGCCAAGTTGTTAAATGAGAAAACCTGTATTGGTACTTGCTAGAAGTTACTTAAATTGGTGCTGAGTGTGGAAAAATGGTTGTCTTGTCATTTGAAATTACGTTCTTACAAAGTCCATATATGTGGATTACTTGTATTTATGTTTTGTTTTTTTGTCATCTAAAATTTGCTTTTGAGACCAGAGTTATTTGATTCATATTAGCTTTCAAATAGTACTTCCAGATAAGTTACAGTGTGCATTTTTTGAAGAGCTAAGTTTCTGTCTCTGCTTTGTTTCCTTTTGGGACAATAGTGCGATACAGAATGCACCGAACCCTGGAGGTGGTGAGCTGCAGAAAGCAGGAAAGCTGTCTCCTCTGAGAGCACAGCCAAAGAAGTTGCCCTGCAGAGGCCAGGCCACCTGTCGAGGATCCTGCGATTCTGCAGAGCCAAGCCAGAACTCAGGAACGTTTGCTGCGCAGATTGAGAACACACCTGTCCTGTGTCCTTTTCATTTGCAACCAGTGCCTGAGTATGAGATGGTTTCTGTTACTACTTATTGCTGCCAGGTTCCTTTCCAGTGAGGAAAATCACATTCACTCCCCTATCCAGTGCTTTTTGTGTTGCCTTCACATGTATATCTTACACTGTATTCCTATTAGCAGGGGATTGAACCTTTGGCCTTGCATATGCTGGGCATGCACTCTGCCACTGAGCTATGTCCCCAGCCTCGTATTTCATATTTATGACTAGTGCAGGCAAGAAAAGGGATCTCAGCTATACATGCCTGTGATCCGTTAGTCAGGAAGCCAAGACAGTACAGTCTTGAGTTCAAGGCCAGCTTGAGTAATTTAACTTGATCCTGTCTCAAAACAAAAAAGAACTAAAGGTTTACCTCAGTGAAAGACTGTATGTTCAGTGCCCAGTACTATAAAAATAAATAGGATCGCTTCTTAAATTGAACTTTTTGTTAAGTGACTTTGTGCCATAGGGATGCTCATTAGTAGTCATTCATATTTTTTTTTAAAATTCTGTGTTTATCTTTTTTGTCTATACTAGAGGGTTTTTCATATTGCATTAAGAGTTCTGTGATGAGTATGATTGTTATATATGTTATAAGTGAATTGAGCTCCTTGAAATAAATTATTTCCTTCACAGTACCAAGGAAAATAGTAAACTCATCTAGAAAAGAATCCTATTCTTGGGATTCACTTAGATTTCCTAACAGTTAATTTTTCAAAATAAGAAAAGGAGTTCTGTGGCTTGAATTTCTATAGTTTCCATGGTTTGTCCCATTATTATAAATTACCAAATTTTTTAATTTATAAAAAATTACACTTCTAGTTGTAAAAAATTAACACATTTAAGATTTACAGTAGTTTTTAAAATATCTACAGATATGTAGCTGAATGTTAAATGGTGTATTAATTTGTCCCCCAACTGAATTTTTAAAATTATTTCATTTTAGGCTCTGTTTTTATAAAGCCTCAGGTTGTAGTGGTCTCATGCCCTTTTCTAAGGACTCATTGTAATTAGCAAGTCCTTTCACATGAAATGATAGTGCTTCTATATCACTCTATTCCTGCTCCTTTTTTTTGCTCTGGTTGTTAAGTTTATGTTGACTTTTGAGACTGATGTCCATTAGTTGGAAATTAATTTCCTGAAAAGGAAGACTTACTAATTCAGAATCCACTGATTTCTTTTCAGTTGTGAAGTGTTGATTGATAGATTTTTTACTTCTAAAAATATAATCTTAACAGTGCCCCTCAGTTTTGACTCAAATCACAAATTGTTACATGTAGTCCCTAGCGTGTGAACATATTAACACTTTTATATTCTTTACTGCACTAGTGCACTAGTGATTGGTTCAAATAAGAAATGAAGGATAAACAGTTTAGAGCTTAACATTTGGCACTGGACACCTAAGGTATCTAAGATGGACATACGGCTCTGTGGTGATGAATATTTGTGTGACACTTCATAGCCATAAGAGTCGTGGACCTGAGAGGTATTAGGGTGGTTCTGGAAAGCTGTGTTCCCTGAGGCCTGAAGCAAAATTCCACTAAGATTTATTGTGCCTTCAAATGATCTCTCTCAGCCATGAATTATTAAAATGCTCTTTTTTTTTTTAATTGACAAATAATTGACTATGTAGCCCCTAGAGAACAAGTGTAATTTAAGTTACATAAATGTTTCTGTCAACACTGACTATCTGGAAGTTGAAATAAATCACTTAAAGAATTTAAAGTAGGCCAGGCATGTTGGCACACACCTATAATCCCAGCAGATGGGAAATCGAGGCAAGAGGATCACTGCAAGCTCAAGGCCAGCCTTGGCTACAAAGTTAGTTCAAGGCTAATCTGAACTACATAGTGAGACTCTGCGTAAAAAAATGCTCCTTCCAAAAGAACTTGAAGCAGTTTTTTAAAATACCCATTTGATTAAAGATTTCATAAAAATGGTTGTGTTTCGTGTTTTGAAGTTGGGTTTTTGTCTCCTAGTTTTTATTGTAATGTATATTTATAATCCCTATAAATTTGTTATCACAACATAAAATAGCACTTTGACTTTTGCAGGAGGTGAATCAAAAGTTTCGGCTAAAGGTGATTCTTAAAATATGAAATTATATTTAGGTATTATTATCGCCCAGTGATAATCAACCTCCACCTCTCCCTTCAGAGCACTGAGTAAACATAACATGCTTACTGTTGAGTAAGCTCCTATCCCATTTCCTTGCAGTGGAAAAATCAAACAAAGCTACTGATCACCTTACTGTTGCAATCTCAGTCAAGTCTTACAGTCATGCATTTTAAGTACAGTTTAGGACACTGGTATGGATATTGCTTTGTTCTTCCTGATAAAATAATGATTTTTTTTTCTATAGCTGTTTTAGTGTGTTACATAAAGCAAAACTTCTTTGTTAAAAAAGAAAATAACTGGAAAATCTAATACATTGTTTTTTTCAATGTACTAGATTTTCAGATGTTAACTGGGTATGGACATATAAGAGTTAAGATTGGAAAAGAAACGGCATATTTTTATAATAAATGCCACATACTATAATAATAATGCCAGTGTTTTTTTTTTGTTTGTTTTTTGTTTTTTGTTTTTTTTTTTCTTCTTCCCTCATAGACCTGAAACAGTGTTAAAAAATCAAGAAGTGGAATTTGGCAGAAATCGAGAGAGGCTTCAGTTTTTCAAGGTATAAATGATTTGGGGAAATTTTTGTACTGACATTTATAAAGTACTGATAAGTATAATTTTTATATCGAGACTAGTGGCGGTGTCCCCCCATGCCTGCTAGGATTGAACCCAGGATTTTACACGTTAGGCAAGCACTCTACCACTGAGCTACATCCCCACTGCTTTTTATCATGAGACGTTGACTTACCAGACTGCACCAGGTTGGCCTGTATTTTGCAGTTCTCCTGCCTCAGTCTTGTAGGTAGCTAGGGTTACATATTTGTACCAGTACCACTGCTAGGATAGAGGTTGTTTAAGGCTTCATGGTAGTAAAACCCTCTTTTGGTTTTTCCAAAGCAGTCAGATTCCAAACTCTTACTGGAAATAAGTATGTAGAAAAGATAAACACAGTGGTCTCATTTGAGTGAGTGGGACAGGGTCTTGTGCATAGGTCTTCTCCCTTCTTCTCCCTGACAGTCTTTGCAGCACCACCTGATGCTGCCATTTATCTGGACTGTTAGGGTATTATTCTTTGGTCTAACTTAATTTTATTTTAATAATATGCAAAGTGAATATGTAAGTTCTGCATCTGCATATTGGTTTTCTAGCATGTAATGTAAACTTTGAATTGCCCATGTTAATATATTTTTAATGTCTATATTGATTTGTGTTATGAATTGAGAATCATAGTGTATTAACACTTGCAATTCTTAAATCTAAACCATAGTGGAGTTCAAGAGTCTTTAATAATGTGGCTGTGGTCCCTCCGGGAACGGGAACGGCTCATCAGGTGAACCTGGAATATCTGTCTCGAGTTGTCTGTGCAGAGAAGGACCTCCTCTTCCCAGACAGCGTGGTTGGCACGGACTCTCACATAACCATGGTGAATGGTTTAGGAATTCTTGGATGGGGTAAGTGACAGAGGGATAGGATTTCTTTCTGTGAGGTGATGTTAAGAGTTAATCAGAGAACAAAAAGCCAGTCTTGACAGCCTCTTGAGGCTTTATTTTTTCATCAGAGACCTGCAGCAGCTTTGCTGCCTTAGGAGTCCAGTTACTTCAGGATCCTTTCATTTGTTCCAAGCCTTCTCAGCCTGGCTCCTCAGCCACCACAGGGCAGGTTTCAAAATATCCCTGTTTCCTGGTGAAATATGGCTGCTCTTATTTTTTACTTCCACACTGTGAAGCTCAGTTGTTTCCTAAAAGCCTTAATCCCCTTTCCAAATTGATAATACCACCTGTATTTCTAATGTTCGTGGGGGGTTTTTTGTTTGTTTTTGGTTTTTTATTAGATTGAGGTTTTGTATGTGTTTGGGGGTGCTGGAGATTTAACCAACTCATTCACATCAGGCTGCATTCCCAACCCTTTCTTATTTTGTATTTTAGACAGAGTCTTCCTGATTTGCCCAGGTGGGGCTCAAACTTTGAATCCTCTGCCTCAGCTTTGCAGAGTGCTGGGGTTACAGGTGTGCATCACTATGCCTAGCTTCTTAAGGTTGACAGGGACAGGGTTGAATTCATTACTATGTCTTAGGCATAGTACAATGCCTAATAAACGCATGGAGCATTTATATTAAGTATAAATATTATACTTATAGCTGGAAATGGTGCTACCTGACTATGATCTTAGCACTCAGGAGGCTGAGGTAGGAGGATGGCTGTGCATCAAGGCCAGGCTGGGCTACATAGTGAGTTTAAGGCCAGTCTGAACTACATAATAAGGCCTTTCTTGAAAAAAAATAATAAATATTAAATGTAACATAAGGATAAAAACATCAGTGTTTCAACTATGTGAGTGGAGTCATTTTGAGAGGGCTTGGCTTTAAGGTCCACAAGAATAAAAATGAAGCAAGTCTTTGTGAAGTGCTGGGCATGTGGTGTACGCGTGTAGTCCCAGCACTCACAAAGCTGAGGTAGGGAGATTACCTGGGCTACATAATTTGAAGTCAGCCTAAACTATTACATAGTGAGACCCTGTCTAATAAAGCCCCCCAAAACAAGTTACAAAACTAACTTAAATTATCTTTAACTGTACTCTGCTAATACCTCTTTTTATTCTAGGAGTTGGAGGCATTGAGACAGAAGCAGTTATGCTGGGTCTGCCAGTTTCTCTTACTTTACCAGAGGTGGTTGGATGTGAATTAACAGGATCATCCAACCCTCTTGCTACGTCCATAGATGTTGTTCTTGGCATCACAAAGGTGAGTTGGAGTTATCACTGTTGACTTAGTAATAAACATCATTTTCGCTTAACTGGAGTGGGACTGTGGTTCATCCTTCCCTCCTTAGTTAGGTCTCATAGTATTAGCCACATTGTCACGGTTACTGTCACAGGAATAACAGCAAACATATAACATTTAGTTTGTAAATAAAGAAAAAAAAATTAACTCACTTACTACTCATTACAAGCCTATGAAATTGCTGTTTTAATCATTTTGTTTTTCATTTGTGTGGGGACACTGAGGTTGAATCCAAGGACTGCTCCCATTTTTAAATTCTTTATTTTGAGATAGGTTTTGCTAAATTGCCTAGACGGGGTTTGAACTTGCTGTCCTTGGGCCTTGGCCTTCCAGAGTGCTGGAATTACAGGTGTGCACTACCATGCCGTGGCTTTTAGTCATTTTAATTCTGAGAAAACTGCAACACTTGAGCTTTAATTCCAAAGGGTCCTAGGACTAAATAGCTTAGTAGTAGAATAACATTTCTGACTCAGGCAATTAAGATATTATATTATGTCTGTACTCTTTAACTATGACATATTATTGCCTCAGAAAAATAAATGTTCACTACATGAATCTTAACAAAAGTCTGTCTATTTCACTTTAGTATTTCCTTATTTGATCCTTAGGACTCATCATTCTACTAAGTAATTACTTCAGAATATTGACGTAAGTCCGTAGTGGTATAGTGGTACAGGCCTATAATGTCACCACTGCAGACTCTGAGACACGAGGATTGCCACAAGTTTGAACCCAGCCTGAATTGCCTAATGAGGTCACGAGGTCCTGTCTCAAAAAAAAAAAAAAAAAAAAAAAAACAACGAAAAAGGATTCTAGAAATGTAACAGTGTCACATTTCTGTTGGTTGCTTTCACATTCTTTTGATTAAGTCCTTTTTTAAAAAAAATATGTTTGTGCCTGAAAAATACTCCATGTATAATTTCAGCTTGGATCCCAGTATCTTACCATCTTGATTAAATTACTGATCCTCAGAGTTTTCAGGATACTCTACAGGGAAGGAAAATGTTAATGCCCCATTCTGCAGTTGGTATTGATTCTTCCCTCATTAGGGAATAATCTGATCTTCTGTGGAAGTGCTTGATTCAATGAATGGTACCAAAGATCAAATAAGTTGAGAATTGCAGCATTATTCCTAAAGGAAAAAGAATATCCTGTTTTCATTTTGAAGAAATTAATTCCTCAGGCATCCTGAAAATTAATGCTGCTGGGTTTTTTTTTAATACCTTTCTGGTCCTATAACTGTACTACTATGTGTGTGTTTGACGTTTTAGGTTACTGTTAGAAATGCTTAGGTATTATGTATATTTGCATTTTTTAAATATAGTTTTTAAGGTCCTGTTCTGTTGATCAGTATTGTTTTCCCAAATACATATTATAGTACCTTAATGATTTGATGAAGGCAGCATTTGGCTTAGTATGTCTAATCTCTATTTCTCTTTTCTTCAAAAGTGTTGATAAACGTCTTTAAGGTTTGAATTTCCACACCTGTTTAGTTTTTTTTTTTTTTTTTAATCGGTACCGGGGATCGAACTCACGACCGACTACTTGCAAGGCAGGTGCTTATGCCGCTGAGCTAAATCCCCAGCCTCTCCACACCTGTTGATAAGAGAAGGAGATTGAGAGAGCTAACAAGTTTGAGTTAAGAGCATCTTTACAGTGTAAGCAGTTAACATTGTTTATAGGTTGAGGGCTGGATCACTCTCAGCCTCTTCCTCCTGGGCCTTCTTCCCAGGTCCATCTGACACCACATCACAGTTCAGGAAGGAGGAGTAATTATGTTGTTTAATGGACAGTAAGTAAGAAGAATGATTTTAGAAAGAAATGCTAAATCCCGCCAAAATGGAATTTACCTATAAGTCATTATGCTGTAAATATTTTCATTGGTAACTGTGATTTGAAAACGTTTTATAGTACACACATAATTTTAACTTACATAGTCTCATTAGTGTATTAGTATTGCATTTTATTAAATGCAAGAGACCATCACTGGTTAGAAGCACTATTGTTTCATGTGCTGCTGAGAAAGAGAAAGGGTTCCCAGCTAAACAGGCTTCATTCAGTGGTCGCCTGGTTTCAGAGACAGTAACAGAAGAGCAGCCTTCTGGAGTTTTGGGCCTCTTGTTACCCTATTGAATAGTGACATTTTTTTCCTATGAACTATAAAGGTGCTCAGCTTCCCTGCTGTCACTAGTACTGGTTGGAAATTGGGTTTTACAGTTCTCAGGAAATTTATGCTAATCTTTTTATCCTTGCTAATTTTGTTTGTGTTTCTGTGTATCTCTTTATACAGCACCTCAGGCAAGTAGGAGTGGCTGGAAAGTTTGTAGAGTTTTTTGGAAGTGGAGTTTCACAATTATCTATTGTTGATCGAACTACAATAGCAAACATGTGTCCAGAATATGGTGCTATCCTCAGCTTTTTCCCTGTTGACAATGTGACATTAAAACATTTAGAACATACAGGTGAGAGGGTATAAGATCATTTAAAGAAACATTACATTTCTACTGTGTCTTGAAACTATTGTATAGTAAATTGTATCTATATGTTATTTAATATGAATGAAATGTTCTTGTTTTGAAAGGATCTCAAACTCAGTAAAGAGTTCATGTCCTTGAAACATAGGCCTCTGCAATCCATTGACAGTGATGTAAAGGAATTATTGATACTGTTACTAGTTTGCCTGAGTCCTTGCTTTAGTGATCATGGAAATCAAAATTGAAGCAACATTATGAATTTATAAGAAAAAGCTTTAGGGCCGGGAATTTAGCTCAGCGGCATAAGCTCCTGGCTGGCAAGCACAAGGTCATGAGTTGGTCTCCAGTACCAAGAAAAAAAAAAGAAAGAAAGCTTTAATTGGAAAGTAAGGAAGAAAAAAAAAAAAAAAGGAATCACAACTCTTAATAAAGATGGGCTCATTCCCCTAACAAAGGAACTTAAAGAGAGGTAAAAGCTTCCGTCTGAAGAGGTGGCACAGAGACCAGCTCTTTACAGAGGCATAGGCAAGCAGTCATGAGTGCCAACCACGATCAGCTGGGGTCTGCTCATCGTTATCTCTGCCCTGGTGTGCTGGCTCCTGAGGAATCCTTCTGACTTGAAGGGCAATGCACTTCCCAGGAGATGGTTCTTCCTGGGGGCTGTCTGTCTTCAAGGCTATGCTATACTCCAAGGCAACCCCAGATTTCAGGGTATAGCTAGATATCCGTGAAAAATCTGTTGGTGTCCTCTATCTTAAAGGGATAGGCTACATCAATTTAGGGCTAATCGACCTCTTTTAATCAATTTTTCCTAAGTGATTAACATCCTGTATCCAAAGTTTTAAGGTAATGAAGAATATGTAAAACGAAGGTCAAGCTTTTTTTAGTTAGCTGTTGAGCCTCTATAGTTCCAAATGAAGAGTCTTAGTTTTTAGCAAAAAACACTTTCAAGTCCTTTTCTGCCTCAAAGCATAAATCATGCTTTTAGTGACACTTAAGAGGCCTGGGAGTGAGTTTATCCTGTGTCCCTGTGGTAGTCTATAAGAACTGCTGATCTGGCTCATTTCCCCACTTCTGCTCAGGGTTCAGAGGTCCACTGTCATGGATGTCAGCCTGGAGCATGTTCTCTACTGCACACTCCACATCCGGGGTAGAGGAACCAGACAAAAGAGTGTGGGAATTGAAACAGAATGTGCCAAAAGCAGCCTAGAATAACAGATTCCACATCATTTTGTAGTCTGATTAACTAGGATCCTTAATCAGTCTTTCACTGACTGTTTAAAATACAAACTACCTGCAAACCAGAAGGGGCTGATAGTTTATTTATTTATGGGTGGTATGTGGGATTGAACCCAAGGTCTTGGCCCTGAGCTACATCCCCAGGTCTCTTTTAAATTTTTACTTTGGGACAGGTTCTCCCTGAGTCATTAACTGCCCAGCATGGGCTTGAACATTTGATCCCTCTGCATCAGCCTGAATGTTAGGATTATAAGTGTGTGCCATCTTGCTTGCTAGAATGTGTGGGTGTTTAATAAGGCTACTGTTCTGTAAAAAGTAGACCTCTGAGCAAGTGTGATGGTGTATGCTTTTAAACTCAGCACTAAGGGAGAATTAGGCATAAGATCACATGTTTGAGTCCATTTTGGATGATTTAGCAAGAGCCTATCTGAAAATTTTAAAAAAGGACTGAAGATGTAGTCCATCATGAAGGCCCAGTGTTCAGTGCCCAGTACAACCAAAAAAAAGTCCCCCTGTACTGTTTATCCTTTATTTCTGTGAACAGATCATTGCTGAGCTGCTTACCTCTAATCAAAGGTATATTGGGGGGCATTTGATATTCATCAGTTTGGGGACACATGATTATAAATAAATGAATTAAACAAATGGATGACAGGCATAGGAAACTCTGGGAGGAGTACCCCCCCCATAAAAAAACTTTCTTATGTCTGGGTTTTGGCTGGTGGAACAAGGGAGAAAGAAATAATTACAGGTGCATCTTGATTCACATGTTAATCTGAGTTAGGATATCAGTGATTTGTTACTATGTAGCAAATTATCCTAAAATCAAGTGGCTTAAAATAGCCATCGTCATGAATTGCCTTGCAGTTTCAGTGGATCTCTCACACAGGGCACAGCGGGACAGCAAGTCTCTGTGCCATATCTGGGGCCTTCACTGCAAGGCTTGAAAGGCAGGACTTGGAATCCTAAAGGCTAGCAGTGCATACTGGCCACCATCTGGAAACACAGCTGGAACCATTAGCACACCCACATGTGCTGTTGTGGTGTCTGAAAGCCTGGGATTTTTCAAATGTGGTTTCTCATGAGAGAAAGGCAGAGAGAATGTAAATCCATAAGTATTAATTTGTTCCTCATCATGAGAATTTTGTATCCTTATCCTCAGGACTTCAGAATTTCTTAATAGATTTTGTTATTCCTTTTTAGGTTTTGATAAAACCAAACTAAAGTCAGTGGAAATGTACCTTAAAGCTGTGAAATTGTTTCGAAATGACCAGAATTCTTCAGAACCTGAATACTCCCAGGTATATGCAAATAACCCTACTAGTAGGAGTTAGAAGTGTAAACTCTGACATCTTGCCACTTAAATTTGAATTCTAGCTCTAAGATTTATTAATTGTAAAACTGGGCAATTTATTTAAATAGCCTGTCTCCGTTTCCTTATCTCTAAAATGTAATGGTAATATCTGTCACATGGGATTCTTAATTTGTTTTGGTTTTGAAATTGGATCTCGATATGCAGGCCAGGCTGGTCTTGAACTCACTATATTGCCAGGGTGGCTTTGAATTTGTGGCTCCTGCCTTAGCCTCTTGAATACTGGGATAATGGGTATGTACCACCATGCCAGGCTGGGATTCTTCTGGTGCCTGGGGTCAAACTCACAACTTCACACTTGCTAGGCAAACACTTATACCACTGAATAAATCCCTGGTACCGGCTAGGATTCTTAATTCTTAGATTAGATAAAAATTGGCAGAAATATTGCAGGTATACACAAGATGTGATTGAAAAATAAGGTATGTATTTAAATTTTTAAGACCATTGATCCCCCTCAAAACAGTCTTCTTGCTTAGAATATATGTGTTCCTCATTCTTGCCACACTTTTTTTTTTTTTTTTTTTTTTTTTTTTGTGAGGGTCTTGCTCTGCAGTTCAGGCTGTCTTTGTATTCAATATGTAGACCAAGCTGGCCTGGAACTCAGGGTGATCTTCCTGTCCCAGCCTCTCTCTTGAGTACTGCAATTACAGGCATGTGCCCCCATGCCCAGCTGTGTTTTGCCACTTTTTGAAGCAATTATAGAAGTCCTTTCTTGAGTGTCTTTGAAGGTACTCTCATGGCTACCACACTGTCCTAAATCCATTTGAAATGTTTACTTGTCCTGGTCATTTTGACTTTGAGGAAGACGCAAAAGCCATACAGTGCCTGATCTGGTAAATCCATACGGTGCATGAGGATCCACTGTAATTTTTGTTTGTTTGTTTGTTTTTGGTACTGGGAATTGAACTCTTGCCTGGCAGGCTCCTAGGCCTCTGAGCTGAACTTCTAGCCCCACACTGTAATGTTTTTCCAGGAAATGTTTTGAATCCAGTCAAGTGGATACAAGACTAAAGAAAAGAACAGTACGTAGCACTGAGTAGATAAATAGGCCTGTAAAGTGTACCCAGCAATTGAATTTGTGTGACACTTTGAGCAAGTTTTTTAGGTTCTCTTATTTTCTGATCCTTTGACTTCTGTTGAATCCAGGGCTTTGTTTACATTGTTTTAAAGATAAAAAAAGATGAGAAAAATTAATGAAAAATTCGGGTGTTAGAGTAAAATGAAATAAATATGCCTATTTAAAAAACCATGACCATATTAATATAAAATTCATCAGGTGTTTATTACTGAAGAAAGTCCTTGATCCACCCTCTCCTAGAGTAGATCACCTGAGTCCATTAAAGGACAGTGGAAGAAAAGTAATACCAGTTAGAATTAACAAGGCTACTCAGTAGTGATGGAAGCCATGAGAGAGAGAAATTTTCAAGTTGTTTATATGCACATAAAATAGAAAAAATAGCAGAAGTAAGTAGAAAACTACTTGGAAAGTGAAATTTTAACAAAGCAGTAATGCCTGAACCAAAGAAAAAAAGCCTGGTCAGCAAGAAACAGCCTGCCGGGAAAACTAGAGTTGCAAAAGAAGCTTCTCTGCTGTGTCCTGCAATCCCTTTTCTTGACCACACTTCCTTTCCTGAAAGCTTGATCTGAAAGCAAAAGAAGGGTTAATCTGAAGCTGAGAGGCAATAAGTCTATAGCCAGCCCAGGGTGAAACTGGGCATCTGTTACAATGATGTTGATGTGTTTGTGGGCAGAAAGCATTTAGGGGACCAACCTTTTAAAGCCAAGATCTTGCTAAGTTGCCCAATCTGGCCTCACACTTACAAACCTCCTGAGCAACTGGGATTACAGGCATGTGCCACCATGCTTGGAACAAACTTTATACCCATCATACAGTTCACATTGTAGAAGTTTGATTATATACTGATCTGTGATTCTTGCTTTTAGTAAATTGTTCATTTTTGTTTCAAAACTTTAAGTGGGCTCATTTCAAAGTAGTTCAAGATCAAACACAGGGGCCAGGGATTTACCTCAGTGGCATAAGTGCTTGCCTTCCAAGTACATGGTCATGAGTTCAATCTCCGGTACCAAAAAATAAATAAAATAAATAAAAGTAAAAAATTTCAACTGTGTCTGTATTTTTTTTTTTAAAGGTCAAACACAAAAAATAGTTCTAGGGGGAGGTTTCATTATTAAAATATTACATTTAAATAAAAGTAAGTATACTTACTCTGCTTCACAAAACAATACTTAAATTGGAATTTGTACTTCAGGTCTCAGTTTCTGTTTCCTTTTTTGGTTGTCTTAGGTGATCCAGATTAATCTGAGTTCAATAATTCCCTCTGTCAGTGGTCCCAAGAGACCCCAGGATAGAGTTGCTGTGACAGATATGAAAAATGATTTCCAGGCTTGCTTAAGTGAAAAGGTAACTTACTTCATTGTCACTTTTATGTGTTGTCAGGCTTTGTACTCCGTAGTAAAGAATGACAAGTTTATAGGATTAACCTGTAGCTGACCTGCGTCTTTTGGTTTGGTTTGGTGTTTGTGGAAGAGGGTCTTGGTGTATAGTTCAGGCTGACTTTGAACTCCAGTATGGAACCCTGGCTAGCGTGTTGGCATACATTACCATGACTGACTGACTTTCTTGTTTTTTAACCTGAGGGCTCACCATATATCTCCAGCTGGTCTTGAACTATGCCACAACTGCCCTAGCTGGGACCGTAGGTGTCTGCTACTGCCTCAGCTGCTGCTGTGCTTCATATTATGGGACACACTGGCAAACCCCCCTTTGCCTTCTGCCTGATGTGTCAGTCATGTGGAGAGCTGATTCCCACTCCAAACAGGATCAGAGGTGGACTGTTTTTGTTTAAATTAAAACTTAAACAAGAGTTCAACATTTTTTTAGTCCCATTCATATTATTTCAAGCCCTGAACAGGCGTATGTGGCTGTGGCACCTGATTAGACAGCATAGGTGATGAGTATGTATCCTGAAAAGGGTTGTGTAGAATGCTGTACCAGATGTGGCAACTTTCCAGAGCAGAGAAAAATCTCTATACTGTGTGTAATTAATTGCTCTTACCTCTGATAAAATGAAATTGTCTTAACAAGTGACCCCTTTGATTTTAGAGGTTTGTGTTTTCTGTCCTAGAATCATGGCTTAAATTTTGTCACTTTGTCTGCTCTATTGTGAGAAGTAGGCTCTGGCTTTTCAGAGCCTTTTTATCATTTTTTGACTTTCATTTGGGAAATGTTAAATTTCTACAGAAATAAAATCATACAGTGAATTGATATGTGCCCATCACCCAGCTTCCCCACAGAGTTACTGCAGCTGGTCTAGTCTCATCTTACTGCATGCACACATGATAGTTTCCAAAAAATCTTCAGAACAGCCAATTTTTACTGTCTCTTGAGAATCATTTTGAACAGGAATGAGTAGAGAACAGTGGAGCTAAATAGGCGTATGGGTTTGGATGGTTGGGTTCACAGGGTAGATAGAAGCTTAGTTTGTGGATGCCAGCACCTGTGAAGGCTGCTAAAGTCAGGCTTCAGAAGAGTTAGAACCACTTAGTGTTATGGAATTGAGTGTCACAAACAGAACTGTGAGTGTTACATCATCAGGTAGTTTCTGTGTTTTCTACCAGTCTTTTCTATACCAATCTATAATATTTACTTATGTTTATGTGCAAATTTTCATAGGTTGGATTTAAAGGATTTCAAATTGCAGCTGAAAAACAAAGTGACACCATCTCCATCCATTATGAAGGACGAGAATACCAGCTGACTCACGGGTCCGTGGTCATCGCTGCGGTCATCAGCTGTACCAATAACTGTAATCCATCCGTCATGCTCGCTGCAGGTGAGCCATGGCCTGTGGCCAGGCTTTTTTATCCTAAATTAACTGTATCTCACACACCTAATAATTTTAGGTTGTGTTTTTCTTCTGTTAGAAATATTGTGAATTAGCAGGTATTTAATTTTCTAGACATTTGCCATCACATTGTGGTAGAGTCCCAGAGAATTATAAAAGAAGCAAAAGATTATCTACAAGAACTATGAGTGCAATCAGTTCATCTGGATCTTAAAAAAAGTTCTTTTGTTGCATAAAAACATACAGTAAATGTTCCATGTCCCTTAGTTTATTATTATGGGACTTACTATTATGGATTCATCCTTTTTTTATATGCAAGTCACTAGCTTGTGCCTTAATAATTTACAGCCTGATGGCAAGTATGTCTGCTCCCTTTTTTGGCTTATTGGGGATTAAAACCCAGGGCCTCAAAACAGGCTAGGCAAGTGCTCTACAATGAGCCATGTTGCTAATCCTACTTTTCTTTTTTTTTTTTTCATTGTCTTAAAATTTTGAGATAGGTCTCATTAAGTTGTTCAGGCTGGCCTTGAACTTGCTGTCTTCCTGCCTCAGTCTGCCAAGTAGCTGGTGTTACAAATATGTAATACCAGAGACTGTGTTCTCTGTCACAAATTTTGATGTATTTTAAATGAAGTAAATTGGTAGAATGGACAGAATAATGATGGTAAGATTAGGAATGTTCGCTTTTGGACTCTAGTCTCCCTTCCTGCTCTAATGTGAAAAAGAGAAAGATATATTGCCATAAAGAAAGGAACTCATTTGTTCCCTGTGCAGGTCTTTTAGCCAAGAAGGCTGTTGAAGCTGGTCTGTGTGTTAAACCTTACATAAGAACAAGTTTATCTCCAGGCAGCGGGATGGTCACTCATTACCTCAGCTCAAGTGGAGTGTTGCCATATCTTAGCAAGCTCGGGTAAGTGACAGCTACCAGTATTTGTATTGATTTTGGAGCACGGCCTTTCATATACGTAAAGCAGATGGAAAGAAAAATATGCTCTGCTTCTACACTCAGTACCTTGTCATTGCCACGGTCTCTGAGACTGCTTTCAAGCAGACATTTCTCAGGCACAGCTAGACAGTAAGGCACCATGAGACTCCTTAAATGCAGAGCACCAGGTGATCTCTGGTCTGGGGGCACTGAGGTAGAAAGACAGACATGCTAATGCAAGGACAAAAAGAGTGGTGGTGCTAGTAATAGGATTCCTTCAAATGATGTGCAGTTCAAAAAAGAATAAAATCTCATAGCTTGCATTTAGTAACCACATGGATTGTTTTCACTGAAGGTTTGTGAGGTTATTGGTTCTCTGACCCCTTGGTTGCACTCTCCGAGTGTCAGAGAAAATGATTTTTCCATTTCTTAGGTGATCAGAATAAAATTGATGCTAGTTGTATTTTGAGTATATATTTTGAAACATTTTGCTTATATAAATTTTATATAATTGTACTTTTGTACTTTTTCTTAAATAAATTCTAGACTTTCTGCTTTTAGAGCAATAACTAAAAGTGATTTAGGGAATTATGCTTGTGAGCTAATCCTAAGTTAAACCACTGTGGAATTGCTGTCAGGGATTTTTCTTGGGATGGTTTCACTGTAGATTGAAAGATTTACTCCTATCAGAGGACCTGGTTGTCTCTTTGGGTCTTTGGTAAAATTGTTACAACCAGGTCACCTTAATATTTTATAGTTTCAGCAAACTTAGGATAGAAGTACAGTGCAGTTTAAAAGAAAATTATGCTACATTGCCAGCAGGTGGTACTTGAATTTTCTTGTGTAGTGTGACAGGTGCTATTGACTTAAGGGAGAGCATGAACTATCATGGCTTCTTACAAGTTTGCATTCAGCACAGGGACCATGCCCATAAGCAGCTTGCTTGTTTAAAATAGTGTAGAATTCATGTGTTGGTAAGGATTGTTCCATGTATCATAATTACTACTAGAGGTAGAAATGCAAGATAAGCCTTGTTGTCTTTTTTACAAATGCGATGTGCTCTCCAGTCACACTTCATGTTTTGAAATGCAGATTTGAAATCGTTGGCTATGGATGTTCAACATGTGTGGGCAATACGGCACCCTTATCAGAAGCAGTTTTAAATGCAGTAAAACAGGTAAAATGTGCAGACTGGCAAGACATCCAAATAGGTTTTCTTAATCATTCTGTTACTAAATTATAGAAAATCTATTGATGTGCTTATATTTCTGTTGTTTCTACACCTCTTTGGAAGAGTAAGTTGTGAATTTTAAAAGGATTCCAGAAATTTTTTTTTGTAATTTGGGTATTTATTTACTTACTTACGGTGGTACTGAGCTATATTTTTCCAGTCTTTTTTACCTTTTTATCTCTGTGAAAGAGTTTTACTAAAGTCTTACTAAACTGCTACTAAATTATTAAGTTTTACAGGCTTATCTGGAACTTGCTGGTCCTCCTGCCTCATTCTCCCAGAGTGCTAGGATTCCAGATGTTTGCCACTATGCTAGGCTTCATTTCTCGATTTTTATTATGTTCTTGGTAATACAAGGATTTTTAAAAAATTTCTTTGTAGGATTTATAGTGATACATTTTTTGGTTGCCGTGCCTTCAAAACTATAATATATAAGATTGTTTTTATATGATTGTCTAGAATTGAATGTACTTGTTTGTGTGGTTATATTTTTTCAGGGTGATTTGGTTACCTGTGGAGTTTTATCTGGAAACAAAAATTTTGAAGGTCGTCTTTGTGATTGTGTTCGTGCCAATTATCTTGCCTCTCCACCCTTAGTGGTGGCTTATGCCATAGCAGGCACAGTGAACATAGATTTCCAGACAGAACCTTTAGGTATGTTTTCCTCTGTGTGTGTGTGCGTGCGTACGTCTGCACACACATGCATATGTGCACTTTTCCTCCTAGAAGTTACTTTTTACATGTTTCAGAAACGATCCATATTAAATTTATACTATAGTAATTTATGGTCATGCATAATTATTGGCTCTTATGCATATCTGAAAAATATAAAATGTGCTACAGATTATTCTCCCAGCTGCTTAAACCTGAAGTGCCCAGTTGTTGAATCATTTATTTACTGAGTACCACATTAATATCTTTTAACTCAGGTACTGATCCTACTGGCAAGAACATTTACCTGCATGATATTTGGCCCAGTAGAGAAGAAGTTCATCAGATAGAGGAAGAACATGTTGTATTGTCCATGTTTAAAACACTAAAGGAGAAGATAGAAGTAAGAATCTTCTTTTCCTCTCCTTTTTCTTTGTTTCTTTCATAAAGCTGCAGTATATTTCATGCATCTTGCTTTCTGAATAGAACAAAAAATTTAAGTTACATTAATTTAAATACACAATGTTTAATGAGTGATAGTTTGTATCTGGAATTGCTAATTACAAAGAGAATGGGCTAGTTACTGGAATCAGTTCTATTTACTTACTGGAAATGCATAGCCGCCACTTTTAGTTGCATCCTGAGTGAGCACAGTTTATAGAAACTATGCTGGCTGTCACTCCAATTCACATGGCTCAGAATTCAGAAGAAACAGGCAGACAGTGACATTCTGCTTTCACTGATTTCCCTAACTATCCCTTTGGTTTTCTGTAATAACCTGTAATACTTTTTTAAGCAACTTTTTAGAGAGATTGTTATGCACATATAAGTAATACACATATACAGACTTCTATTTTTAAAAATACAAATGTGATGGTAGAAAAAACAGTCACTTGACAAATCTTTGCTGACGCCATGAACAAGGTGCTTTCTAGATGCTTCCTGCTTTGTTTGTTTGTTGCTTTGTTTTTATTTTGGGTGCTGAGGATTAAACCCAGGCCCTTCACACTACACAACATCCATGGCTCTTAATTTTCTATATTGAGACAGGGTTTCACTGGGTTGTCCAGGCAGGGCTTGAACTTGATTCTTCTGCCTCAGCTTCCTAGAGTGCTGGGATTGTGGGCCTGCCTAGCTCATCTAGATATTTGATACACAATACACATTAGTGAACAAAACACAAAATTCTCATGGGGAGAAACAGACAGTGACTTATAAAGAAAATAATTAGGTTAATTATACATTTTGTTAAAAGTTGTAAGATCACCAGAGGTTTAGCTCAGTGCCACAAGTGCCTGCCTGGCAAGTGTGAAGTTTTGAGTTCAGTCTCCAGTACCAAAAAAAAAGTAAGATTTATAGAAAAAGTAAATTTTGATAAAAAGGGTTAATTGTGCAAAATTTTGAAAGCAGATTGTAATAGGTTGAAGAGAAACCATTGAGCATGATTTTGAAGGAAGCAGAGGGGTCAACCGTGTTCTTGAGCAGAGTGAAAGGCTCTAGGAGAAGGGAACGGGCTCTCAGGTTGTCAAGAGGGAGTCTTCATGGATGTGGTGTCACTCAGAATCAGCAGTGTGTGGGACACTGGGTGGAAGTTGGAGGTCCAGATGCCTAGGAATATCCCCTGTGTCAGGCGAGAAGGGGAGTGATGGAAAGATCATTCTAAGTCTGTATTCAGGATGCTGGGGGAGCAGTAAAGGGTGGGATTAGAAAGGCCTAGTGAAGAGGTCTCAAGCATGAGAGGGTTTGATAGAATAGATCAGGCTAGTAGCAGTGGAAATGGTTGAGAAAGCAATAAAATTTGGGGTGTAGTTTATAGGCAATGATAAGAGACAAATATATTGAAAAAAATGAAGATTTTTCTTTATGGTGACATTCATGAAGATCACTAGCCTGCCTCACACATACATTCACACAACATATATAGAGATCTCTGTTAGCATGCTCTGGCTTTGTATTTTGTTTTGTTTTTGTGGTTTGTGGGGTTTTTTGTTTTTTGACCTTTTTTGGCATCAGGAATTGAACTCAGGACCTTGCACTTGACTTGCCAGGCAGGTGCTTATATGCTGCTAAGCTATAGCCCCGGCCCTGTGGAGGTTTTTTTTGTTTTGTATATGTGTTTGTTTGTCTGTTTTGACTCTAAAGAAGTCTGTGTTCAGTTTATATTGAAACTTAAGAGTGTTCCTGAAGATCTGGTGAGCTACAATTTACTTGGACACTTTTGTTATTCTGTCCCCCCCTCCCCCCCAAAAAATCACTGTTTTATAAAATGAACCATTTTAGGGTTACCTTTATAAATGGATGTGTCTTTTTCTTTTCTAGTCTTTTTGTTTTGTTTTGTTTTTGGTACCAAGGATTGAACTCATGACTTTGCACTTGCCAGCAGGCGCTTAGCTGAATTCCTGGTCCCTCTTTTCTAGTCTTTTCATAAGCCTCCTTCTCATTCTTTTAAACCATTATTTGCAGGTTGGAAATAAATGGTGGGATTCCTTAGAAGCACCAGACTCAGTTTTGTTTCCATGGGATTTAAAATCTACTTACATCAGATGTCCTTCGTTTTTTGATAAACTTGTAAGTCGTTTTAATGTTTGTTCTTACAAGATCATTGTAGACTGAAAAAACTTGTGAAGAATTAAATGCTTTGAGCTTTACTTTGCAGACCAAAGAGCCAGTTGCACTCCAGCCCATTGAAAATGCCCATGTCTTGCTGCATTTGGGAGATTCCATTACTACAGATCACATATCGCCTGCTGGAAGCATTGCTAGGAGTAGTGCTGCAGCCAAGTATTTGACAAACAGAGGGTGCGTATAAGTGGTTTGGAGGCAATCTTGCTTTACCTTCTATCTAATTAAGAGCCATGTTGCTTTATCCAGTAAATAAATGCTGTTCTAGATGTCTGATTATTAGTGTACAGATATTCCTTGTACAATTCTGTACATTTTGCTTATAGAGCCTTAATATCTTTTTCTGTTTAGTGTACCTTGTTAACGTAGTACAGTCATTTTTGCTCATTATATTGTATAGTACATTACTATAGTTTATACATTAATAGTTCTGTTATACATTATGGTACTGCCTGAAAGAGGTATGTAATAAAAGCAAAGTCATCGAGTTGGAGTTTCCTTAGTTCTGAATATTGTAATGTGCATACTGTATTCAATTATATTTTTCAATCAATTCAATTTCAGCCTAGTTGGAGGAACAGAACTGGGTCCTCAAATGAGGAGTGTCTACTTTTGGCTTGAATCAGAGCAAGAGTGCCTGTAACATTAGTCTTGTCTTACAATTTTAGAAACTGATGTTGCTATTTTATGTTGAGTCTTACAGTCTGTACAAACAAGTGGTTAGAGACAAGGTTACTCTTTTAAGTGCTACACTGTTGAAAAGTCAGCTTTCTTTGATACACTAAATGAAGTCCAGTCACTCACTGCATTCTAATAACTAGCTTCTAATTCTTGGAGTATAGTAAATGTGTATGTTATGGGCTATAAAATGCTCACTTGAAAGACCGTAGTTGATACATATCAAAAGTCAACTGCTGCTTTTTTTTTTTTTTTTTTTTTTTGTCAACTGAAATTTATTTGTATTTGTAAATATTTACAGTATATAATTTTTATATTGGGCATGAATTACAGGTATATAAGACATGTTGATTTTTATTTCAAGAGGCATAAATCTAAAAGAGATTTTGTTTCATTTCTGTGTTCTGTTGAACTGTTTTGATAAAGAGACACTGAAGACAGAATTTGCGTTGATTAGCTTTTGGATACTTGAGCAATTCAAATGATTGAATTTTTCATTAAAAATATCTTATAAAATTATGGTTATAGAATATAAACCAAATATAGAATTTGGTTTATATATAATAATATAGTAACTTTTATTATAAGGTGTTTAAAAAATAAAATTTTCTTCCAATACTTTTTGGTGATGGGTTGTATCTTGGTCACAGTTGTGACATAATTCCCACAAAAGAAAACCAGTCACCACTTCTCTCAGATGCACAATTTTTATGTTTATTGTGATTTCTCAAGCACATTTAGTCCAATAATTATCAGATAGAATTTTCTAAAAATAAAGATACCCAAATCCCCACCACTTCTGACCTAAAGAAAGTTTGATTGTACAGCTTTATTTTGTTGCCTCTGCCCAAAGACTAAATTAGAGACTGTTAAAATAAGTTATTGACTGTTTCATTGTTTCACTGATATATATAACCCTATGGTAATGAACATCCTTAGCACTGAGGGGTGGTTCCTGAATATCATTTCCAGTGTAGACTACCAGCGCTGCTTGGAGAAACGGTTGATTCTAGATCTAGGACTGGGAAGTAATTCGAGTACCTTAGGCCAAAATTAGTGGAGCCATTGGGTACCACTAAGCACTGTCTGGAAGGTAGATATGTTTACATCCAGTGTTCATTTGATACTGAAAGGAAAAAAAGCAGAAGTTACTGTATTAGGAACCTTTCCAAAATGATAGGGAGACTGTACATTATTTTGAAATTTGGCAGGCAAATCAAATCTGTAACGAGCTTTTCTTATATGGTATGTAGGTCAGTTTAACCAAATCACTCATAAAGGAAAGTTTGTCTTTATAGAAGTTTTCCAGCTAAGGGTGGTGGTATGTGCCTGTACTCCCACTTGGGAGGCTGAGGCAGGAGATTCGCCATGAGTTTGAGGTCACCCTGGACTACATAAGTGAGTTCAAAGCCAGCCTGCACTGTACAGTGAGATTCTGTCTCAAAAAAAATTTTTTCCAGCCAAAAAATTAAGACGTATGATAGAAATAAGAGTATCACAACATTTTCTTATGAAATAATCTAGACAGTGGTAAGCATTCACTGCAGAGATTCCAGGGAGACAGTTATATGTCATGTGCCTCCCAGTGAAAATGTATACAACTGTCAAGCATTGTTGCCAAAAGTGTAAAAACCTACTTACCAATCTGGTATCCAGTTTACAATAAGTAAGAACACAGACCTATTGAAAGATAACATGAGAATACAGTCAACATAATTTATCATAGACAAAACTAAACCAAATGCCCTAGCTGGACATGGCACCACTCACCTGTAAGCTCAGCACTCTGGAAGACTGAGGCAGTAGAGTACAAGTTCAAGCCCAGCCTGGGCAACTCAGCAACTTATTGAGATTCTGTCTCAAAAGATTTGTAAAGAGCCGGGGCCATAGCTCAGTGTGAAGATTCTAGATTCATCCCTAAAGATCACCCCCCCCCTCCAGTAAAAAGAATGGAAAAATTAGGGACATTAGACTGTTAACTGACTGATACGAAATTATGATACCTAAATTCGGCTTCAGCTTAACCAACAGTTGATTATAGAAGAAACAGAGCATCCATGAGTATTTGTAGCACTATGTCGTTTTTCACCTGGAATGAAACTGATTTTTACAACTTTCTTTAGCCTTACCCCTCGTGAATTCAACTCTTATGGAGCCCGAAGAGGTAATGATGCAGTGATGACAAGAGGCACTTTTGCAAACATCAAGCTTTTTAATAAGTTCATTGGAAAGCCAGCTCCCAAAACAATTCATTTTCCATCAGGACAGACGGTAAGGATGTATATAAAGTATTCAAGCCATTACTCACTGGCTAAAAACGTATATTAAGGAATTTTGTATATATTTGATCTACAGCTAGATGTATTTGAAGCTGCAGAGATGTATCAGAAAGAAGGTATCCCACTAATTATTCTAGCAGGAAAGAAGTATGGTTCAGGAAATTCAAGAGACTGGGCTGCCAAAGGACCCTATTTACTGGTATGTGTTCTTAACATATATTTCAAGCTTAACAGACATTTTAACGCTCCTTTTTATCAGTAGTAGCCTGTCAAAGTTTAATTGGATTTTTTTATGATTTGCACCTTGACTTAATGAGTTTGTTTTTGATTATCTTAGATGGTATTTTGTACTCACCTATTTGCATGTTAATATTCTGAATTTGAGTCAGCCTAAGTCTTTCCTTATGTAGGAAAGTCAATATGATAGATGGAAAAGGGATTCTGTCTTAAATAATCTTTTCATTTCCTCTGATTTACTTCATTGAGGAGTTGAGAGACTCAGAGTTTTGGGGCCAGGTTTCAACCTCCTGCCCCCAGATAAGACCTGATAGGGCCTTCTCTTCAGAGTGTTTCTGCCTTGGGCTGTGCCCTGTATAATCATCCACTCTTATTAAGCTGCGAAGCAGTGATTCTTAGCTGTCTGTTCAGTTAGACATTGAGAATCTGAATGTGCACTGGGTACTGCCAGTTAGGGCCTCACTATAGATAATGGGGTGATGAACTGTCTTACCCTTCAGACACTTGTCATTATGTTTACATTTGCTTTAAGGTCATTTAGTTTCTTTTTTTTTTTTTTTTTTTTTTTTTAATCTGTAGCGGGGATCGAACTCACGACTGCCTGCTTGCAAGGCAGGCGCTTATGCCGCTGAGCTAAATCCCCAACCCAGTCATTTAGTTTCTTGAAGGAAGAAGATGCCCTTGGGGTGTCAGCTGAGTCCTAGCTTCTGATCTGGTATTCTCAATCTGGTGGTCTTCAGTTTTGTAGTGTGTGCATGATGGTCCCCAAGGAACAAAAACTTTTATTAGGTGGTACAAGGAAGCTTTTCTCTTTTTATAAAATATAAATAAATACACAGTACATAAATTAAAGTTTGAAGGGATTGCTGAGGAAGATAAAGTGATTAAAGGAAAAAGTCTAAAGTCTCACCTTAGACAATAGCAGAAAAGTTGAGAATCACAGGCTGAGAGCTGTGAGCTAGCTCACTCTCTCCAGGGAATGAACACTTCACTGTGCTAGAGTGGAGGCTGAGCTGAGCGTCTCGCTGCTTTGTGTAGACTTTAACCAGAACCCCCAGTGCTGTAAGAGATGGGGGCTTTCCTGGACTCTGTGTTACACATTGTCTCAAAACTTATGGAAACCATCCTTTAATTTCAGTTCATCATTCTGTGGGTTCTGATTTCTATTTAGTAAATATTTAATAGAATTTTCTCATCCTGTTCATTTTGTGGCTGTGGATTTATATCCTCTTTTTCTTCAAGTATTCCCTTAAACTGATGATTAACACATATGCTGGACTGATTGTGCGAGTCACTTAAGGACAAGGCAGCTGCCCCACTTAGCCAGCTCCTGTGTATGGTGGGCACGGTCAGTGCTTAGCCCTGGAATAGCCAGGGCAGGGCACTGGGGAAGAGACAGAGCAATATAAGAAATTCTTTAAAAACCCAGAAAAGTCTTATGAAAGGATTCTGTAAATGTTGTTTATACAACACTGACTGCAGTATGGAGTTATACAACACTGACTGCAGTATGGAGTATTAGATTAAAAAAAAAAAGTGTATTAAAAATCCAAAACACATGTTTTTCTCTTTAAAAATGCTCAATAAGGCAACTTTCAGGAGCCAACAATATAGCTCAGCAGCACAGCCCCTGCCTGACAAGGCCCCAAGTTTGATTCCCAGTACCAAAAATTGGTCAGTCAGTCAGTCAATCAACTTTCAGAAGTGATTAGAAGCTGGGCATGGTGGTACATGCCTGTCAGCCCAGCACTGGGGAGGCTGAAGCAGGAGAACTGTTCCACGTTTAAGGCCAACCTAAACTGCATAGCAAGACCAGGTCTCAAAAAAAAAAGTGATTAGAGGAAGTAAACTATACATTTGTTGCAGGGTGTAAAAGCTGTTTTGGCTGAAAGTTATGAAAAAATACACAAAGACCATTTGATTGAAATTGGCATAGCTCCACTTCAGTTCCTTCCTGGAGAAAGTGCAGATGTCCTGGGCCTCTCTGGCAGAGAAACATTTTCTTTAACATTTCCTGAAGAGCTGTCTCCTGGAATAACAGTAAATATAAAGGTATCTCTAAAATTCTTACATGTAATTGTGCACTTTTTGCGCAAGGAGGTGATTGTAAATTAAATTTGAAAATTACATTCTTATATTCGTTTTTAAAAGTTGTACTTTGAGATGGTTCTGTTGCCCGTGTATTGTGACTTTGTTATAAGCTCTTGTTCTCTGAGACAAAGTAAAAAGATCTGAATGCTTAGTCCAGGAGAGATGTATGGAAGGGAATTTTGCCTTCTAATTGCATGTGCCAGCTTTTGTCTTCATTGTCAACTCTGTTTTAACCCAGGTGTATGTTCCAAAGAGCAGGCAAAAGCTGGGCATTAAGGGTTAGAGTGAGAGTTTACAACTAAGGGGGAAAAAGAAGAATGGCAGACATGATGTCCGATGAATAGTTAATGTAAAGTGAATATGAACAGTGACTAACTCACAGATAAGTCTAAATCCTTTGAGATTTCTACATTGCATAGTATTTCTCACTTAAATTTAGAAATGAAAATACCTCTTTTTCTGCTTAGCTGCCTCAGGTTCTTTTGAAACAGCAGAAGGGTTTCAGGCAGTCAGAACATAGGAAATTAGAAACAGTTAAATCGAATAAAATATGTGGCAGTTAGTCTTTGAATATGAACACAAGGATCTTAAGTAATACTGCGGTGACTTTTTTGTTTGTTTAAAGACAAGTACTGGAAAAGTATTCAGCGTGATTGCTTCATTTGAAAATGACGTGGAAATAACACTGTATAAACACGGAGGATTACTAAACTTTGTGGCACGAAAATTCTCCTAGTATCTGCTGGCCATGGATGTTCAGAAACTCTTGACTTCAAAGTGCTGGACCAGGGATCCTGGCATGGAGCTGCAATGTTCCCAGTGCGCTCACCTGTGTCATCCGCAGATGTAAATGATTATGAATCACAGTAGTGACTGCAATGAAATTTTGATCTTAAATCATACACGAATGGTGCTATTAACATTGCTAAAATCAACGTGTGACGTGTGTTGTGGAAGAAACCTGTAAGTATGGGTGGGTGGGGATATTTTATCAGACCATTTTGTAAATAAAGGCAGAATTTGAACTTGTGTTGAAGATTCTTACATGAGTAACCTTGTTTGTTTAGTTTTGCACCTATAAAACTGTACTACTGTTTGTTGGTTTAAAAGTAGCAGATTGAAATATAAGAACCCAGATTAGACTTTAAATTGTGGAGGTTAGAATCTGATTTTTAAATGCATTATTAAGTATATCAGTTCCTTTCCAGAGTTGCTGACCACAGTTGGCATTCTTAGTCTGTCATGAAAGCCAGGTTTATCCTTAGTCTCATTCAAACTACAGGGAGAGAGCCCGCCCCAGATCACAATCATTCTGTGCAGTGCAGCCAAGGTTTCCTTCACATCTGCATTTGGACCATTGCAGAATACAAGTAGTTCTGTGGCACATGCGTTAGCAGTGAAAGATGGATGTCTGGTGCAGCACTTAGTTTTTGGTAGTTTGTCACTATACCCTGTGGCAGGTCTCAGATACCATTCTATTAATTGGATCAGCTTATGTTGCACATCTGATGTGATACTAGAACTTTTTATAACCTAGTGGAGGTATCACCAATTGACATTCCACACTCATCTTGTGGAAGCTAAAGAACTTGAATCATTAGATGGTAACCATATTTCTTTTAAATTATCCACCCTAAATTATATGGATCTTTACCCCTAAGCATTTTTTAAATGTTCCTATTTGATTTCCTATCACTTCAAATAATTATTTCACCAAGAATAAGTGTGATTCTGTTAGTTTTTTTATAGAGAATGTCAGATATTCTCTATATGCCTGTTTTTCTATCATATTCATCAAACATTTGTTCTATCAAGACATTTGGCAACTTCTTACACAACAGGTTGGACAATTAATTTCAGAAGATCTTATACCTTTGTTTAAGAAAACAAGCTTAGCAGCAAAAGGTTAAGGTACTGTTTTTGTTTCACACGGAGATCTTCATATGATCTAGGTAAGGTCTTGCAGTTCAGAATTAGCTCGCATTGCACAGAATAAAAAATTGGTTTTTTTAAAAACTAAAATGCTGAAACTACCAAACCAATGGGTAAAGACCTGAGAACTTTGCACATAATCAATCATAGTCTTTTGAAAACATCTTGTAAATATTTATTAAACAATGAGTTGTGCTAGAATTTGAGTTTCCTATTTAAATTTTTTATGAATATTTCTTTGATCCTTTCAAATCATGTTGTGTCTCGATACATGCTGTGTATCTGTCAGTGCATGTGTTTAATTTACATGAGTTTATGACGGAGAATTTACAGATTGAATGTTAAAGTGTCTGTTACATGTTTTGAAGAAATGGTAATTCCAGATTGTGTGGGAAAGAAAAACTGTTACTTTGAAAGTGTATCTGTGGACATCACACAAACTAATCAAGAAATGGTGATAAAGCCATTTAGTAGTGGTGGCTCAAATGTGAACATTTATAAGCAAACCTGTATTCCAGGAACAAAACTAAGGTTCTTTTGATCTCTCACTGATACGGGTGAGCTTGGTTTTAAAGTCAAGGAGGAGAGTTGTAGGCCTATGCCCCTGGGTGTAATTCTGCCTTTCGCCAAACGCTGCAGAACTAGCATTTGATTGTTTTACTTCACCTACTTTGTTGACTCTGTGGGTAATTTTGTGTTACAATAGAAGTGTGATAGGCACACTAAAGCAAATCAGTGTTGTGAACTTAAGAGTTTGCAAGTTATTACCAACAGCAACATTTACCTTCTGGAAAACCTGCTATGCCACATTGCCATTTTCATACCTTTAGGTCTTGCTACTATTAAATGTCATACAGCTACTAAAATATCTCTACTATTTATACCTTAAAATTCCCAAAATGACAGTTGTCATTTTCTGTCTTGTCTCCATTGAAGACACTTGGGTACAAGGAAGCAGAATTGCTTCAGCCATTGCCTGGATTTCCCCTGGTGATTGTATTGAAAGCTATAAAGCTACTAGCTGAATCCAAGTCAGCATTGTTTGCATATTCAGTGACAATGATGTGTGTGCATTGGCCTGTCACTGACAAGTGACAGGATGGGAGGAACTTGACACTTTTCTGTGGTTAAATTAAGAGACATCTTTCTTTTGCTTTTAGGTTTAGAATAAAATCCTAACATACCTGGGCATTGACGCGATCCAGTTCGATGTAAACAAGACAGTGGCAAAGGGGTTGACTTAGGCTTTTTCAGTGTTTTGGCTTTTGTTTTAATTTTTCCCTAATGGGTGACAGTGCTGATGTTTTCTATCAAATTTTACACATGGGGCTATGAAACCATATATCTCAATTAACTGCAAATCACTGTCTTATTTAAAGCCAACAGTACAGTGCAACAGTTTTAAGTTCAATAATGTTAAGTATTGTATAGAAATATATTAGAGGCAAAGTTCAGCTGATGACAATGGTGTATATGTTACTGATGATGTAAATTATTTTTAATAAAGAAAATTGTATTATCACATTTGGCTCTTGTTATATTTTTAGCAATTAGAATAAGCCCCCATGACTTAAAATGACACTATGTTACATAGAAGTTTGTCATCAAATACATTATCTAAGTGTTCAGAGGTCATATTGTTACCTGTGGCTGTGTAAAACCCACGGTTCTCACCGTGTGTGTTTACCTGCTCCTTTTCCACTCTAGGGCTAGTGAGAACAAAAATCAGTATAAACATTCAAGAGGGCTGGAGATTTAGTTCAGTGGCATAGGCGCCTGCCTTGCAAGCAGGCAGTTGTGAGTTTGATCTCCGGTACCGATAGAAAGGAAAAAGACAAAAAAAAAAAGTATAAACGTTTGAAAAAGGAAAGGAGATGGGATAGCCTAGCAACAAATACAGTTGAATTTCATTCAGGGATTGGGCCAGTAGGTTCTTAGGTTTATAGAATCAGTTTAGAGTTGAATTCTAAGCAGGATCCTTTGTATAACATGTCTTAATTGGAAAGGACAGCTTTTTAATATTTGAGGGATGAGACCCTCCAGCTGCCAGCACCTCACTAACAGCAGGCTGGTCACGGGCTGATGGAGGTTCTGTACCTTCAGGCCTAAACCTTGAATCATTGCATAATGCACAGGTGTGTGCGCAGAGAAGACATTTCCAGCGCAGGGCTCACACCTACCCCGGGCCTCCTTTCCGAACAGGCGCTCTTAACCTACGCGCGGCAAGCAAGCAGTGGGGAGGAGAGTGCAGACAAAAAGCGCCAGCGCCCGTTGGACCCGATCCGGGAGAAATTGTCCAAGCTACCCAACCAAGTAGACGGGGTGGAGCTAAAACGTGCCACTCAAGGACCTAATTCCTGCTGAGTGGGTACTTAGAGTGGGCGAGGCCATAGAGAGCCAATCAGAAAAAACTCCAGTTACGATAAGGCAGGGTTTTTTTTGGACTGGTGCAGGACCACAGGATGGGTGGGGTCAACTTCACGTTTAGAGGACTCTTGGCTGTGGGCAAAGTCTATCTAATGTGTCTGGCCAAGCCACGCCTTCCTGTAGTGTGAGCTGAGTGGGCGGGGAGGAGCGAGAGAGAGCAGCCAGTCTGAAATCCGGCACGCAGGGCTAGCTGGAGGGGCCGACCCAGTTCTTAGGGCTCAGCTCGTACAGCTCAGAGTCCATTTCTTCTGCTGTCTCAGGGGACTGGCTGTGAGCGCGACGCGGGATCTTGCAGTGAGCGGAGCAGGGAGTGGAGGCCTGCTGGGCCGGACCGGGCCGGGGTATGCTCGATGGCGGGGTGGTGATCCTGGGCGGGGATCCTGACCTCCATCCTGTGGTCCTCACCGCTCAGGATACACGGTCTTCTCCCCAGTCCTCACCCAGGGTGAGATCCCAGGAGAACCCAGGGCACTGCGCTCCTGATTCCCAGCAGAGAGTGGCAGAGGGAAGTGCCTGGTGGGAACCATTTCTGAGCTTCCCCTCGCCTCACTATAACTATGGACCTGACCTGTATGCCCTCCTCTTGCCCCGTTATCTTCTTGCATTTTGAGCCAGCCAGAAACCTGCTGGTCCACAGCTTTTTATTTTTCACTCAACATCAAGATCCAGGTGCACCCAGTCGTGCCTTATTATCTGCAAACGACTGAGTCCGGGTTTCCTGCTTTATTTCCTGTGGAGTGAAGGCAAACTTGGTTCAGTATTTAATATTCACTAAGTCACCATCTGGGTCCTGAAAACCCAACTCTGCTCTGCAACCCGGGAAGGACAGAAGTTTGCAGAGGAAAAGGAGACTGGGAAGATTGACTAAGGTTAGACTCTGGGCTTTGGGACCCTCTAGACGATATCAGGACTGACTCCTTATTTCTTGTCAGGAGTAACCTTGTGCAAAGTACAGAGTTTAAGGTCCAGCCTTCTGTTTCTGGGACAAGAATTGTGAGCTGATCTTGACCCTGTGGTTTTCTGGATGTTTTTTCACCAGGTGCCAAGTAAAATAGACAACCCTCCTCTAGGACTTGGGTCCCCTCCTCCCTCATCACATGCAGGACAGATTTGGTGAAGGAAACATCTATAACAAACACATTTCTCTGTGTATATTCGTTTGGGTTCAGGAACAAGCAGGTATCTGTGCCGTTCCTTTCAAGATTCGGGAGGCCTTGCTGTAACAAATTAAAAAGGCAAACATAAGCTCAAAGAGAAAAAACTTAAGTCTCATAGACTTTCCTGGGTCATCCAGTCCAGCTCTTTCTGGAGTGGCAGACCTGAATCTAAAATATGACTTTTTATGCACCAGCTTTGCCAGCAGTGCCTCACAGTGTGTTGGAAGCCAGGTCCTTCTGAGAGACATCTTAAAAGGCCCCTTCACAGATGTTATGCAGGCATGTGCTGGACCAGCAAAGAGTTGGCCTGCCCAGCTTCCTTTCAACTTTAAGAATTTAGGATTCAGGGCCAGGGATACAGCTCAGTAGCTCAGCACCTACCTGGAAAATGCAAGTTCCTGAGTTTGATTCCCGGTAACTCTCCCCATAAAAAAACAACAAAATTTTAATTATTATCAAATCTAGAGTTACTCTCACATCCTTAACACTTTGGAAACTGAAAAACTACTCCAGGTTTCACTGTGTAGTTAACACTGCAGTTCCTGTTATACTCAGAATCCAGACTTACACCAGTGTCTGTCTCCAGCAGCAATGTTTACATTTCCTCTAAAGTGTTAAGCCCAGAAAAACAGCAGCAAGATATGTTGGTTCCCAAAAGGTCAAGGGGAAAAAGTATTTTGAAATCCCACGGTAGGCTTTGTTATAATGTCTTTAGTGAACCAAATCTCAACAGCTTCATTTCCTTCTGAAAGGAAATCCTCTGGTAAACAAGGGAAGGGATTGTCAGGTGTGCAGTGGCGCGGTGCTGTGTGGCAGGAGAGGTGGCTTTGGGTGGACAGACAAGGAAAGGCCCTGGGGAATGGTGACATTGCAGGCTTTTACCCTCACTGCCATTCAGGTCATCAGGCTGTGTAGTCTTGGGACTGAGGCAGGGAGAAGAGCCCGGACACACCCGGAGTTTCCTTCCCTTCTCTCAGGGAGTAGGTGGCCTTTATGTGACAGAGCTGGGGTGACTGGCTGGGGTGACCAGTGGCAGGCCTGGCTGTGATGTGCGAACTCTAAGACATTTTTAAGACTTCCCCTCTTTGTCCTGGCTTGTCTCTCACTAGGGCTTATTTTTTTTTTTAAGGTAAAATTTACATTCAGTGAGATAGACAAATGTTGCATTCACTTCAGTTTTAAGCTAGATTTTGACAAATGTATTCTCCTGTACAATGAAAGCCTTGTCAAGAGACAGGGCTGGGGATGTGATGGAGGGGTAGAGTGCTTGCCCCACAGATGTGGGTTCAACCTCCAGCACTGCCAAATATCATTAAGGTATAGAACAATTTCCTCTCAACAAGTTCCCTGCACTTGGGAGGCTGAGACAGGAAAATTGCAAGCTGAGGTCAACCTGAGCTTCCTAGCAATACTCTGCCACCAAAAAAGAGCGCTCATGCTGCCTTCCTGCTAAAAGCAATGGTTGTTCTGCTTGTTTGCTTACTTTTTTCTTTCTGTGGCACTGGTGATTGAATCTAAGGTACACTAAGCTACATTCCCGTTCTTTGGGTTTTTTGTTTGTTTTAGCTTTTTGTTTTTATTTGTGGATTTTGGTTTGATTTGGTTTGATTGTAGTTTTAAAAAAAACAAAAACAAAAACAGTCTCATTATGTAGTTCAGGCTGGCCTGGGCTTGAACTCACTGTGTAACCCAAACAGCCTCCAACCTGTAGTGATCCTCCTGCCTCTGCCTCCTGAGTGTTGAGATTACAGGTGTGTACCAACATGCCCAGCTTATTTTATTTTATTTTACTTTATTTTATTTTGAGACAGGGTCTTGCTAAATTGCTAGGCTGGCCTAGAATTTTGGATCCTTCTACCTGTACCTGATGAGTGTTGGGATTTCAGGTGTGCAACACTGCACCCACCTGAGAGTTTTTTTTAATGGAGTGGTTCAAGGGATTGGACCCCAGCCAATATTTAATTCTTACGATGAGAGAGAATCTGTAAATTGCCAGGCTGGGCTCCAAATTGCAATCTTCCTGCCTCAGCCCGCAGACCGCTGGGATTATAGGAATACACCACCATGTCTGGCTCAGATTTGTTTGATGTGACACCTCATCCGGCTAGGCATGGGTCATATACCTGTTACCCCAGCACTCGGGAGGCCGAGGCTGGATTGTGAGTTCAAGGCCAGCCTGAACTTGTCTCAGTAAACAAAAACATTGAAAAATGGGGGGAAAAAGTTCAAATGAAAGGGAAATACAGGAGCATTAAGGAAATAAGGGAGAAAGGGGAGAAGTGACAAGAGAAAAAAAGGAATAGAAGTAAAAAGTGGAAACAAAGCTTTCATACATAAATAAAGGGGAAGAGAAGGAAGGGGAATGGGAAAAAAAGAAAAAGCAAGATATATCATGTTCAGGTACAAGCTCTCTGTGATGACTATTACAATTATGTATATCTAAAATGTACCAATAAAATAAAAGGTTTTTTAAAAAAGTCTCAAAAACACACAAACAAAAAAATGCATCCCCTATACAACCAACATCATACCCTAAAAGGCAACTCACCCCAAGATACTATCTGTCAAGTATAACTTAGTATGAAGGAAGGATCAGAAGAAAACTTTTGGGAAAGGAAGAAGGTAAAACTGTAAAAACCTTAGAGATTTGGTTCCTGGAGGATGCTCAGGCCAGGTGTGTGGCGCCAAGAGTGTAACTCCCAAGGGGAAGAGAGCTGGCTTCCCTCCCCGCCTCTCCAGTGGGACTCAAAGGCCCTGTGAAATACATCTTCCCTCGCCACTACCGTTCTGTCCCCTTCATCATCTGCCATAGTTTGGGCTTGTATTAAATCTGTAGGCTGCAAACTCAAGATCTAACTTTATTTTTTGCATCTGATAGCCGATTTTATTCCATGTTCCTTTTTGCAGTAGAAAATGTGTTCTTCACAGTTTAAAGTGACCCTAGTTACTTCAGTGTGAATCCAGTTTTTCCAGGTTTGCACTTAGTTAATTCAAGGTTTTCTTCAGCATTCTATAAGTCTGTTGCCTATTGCTTTACAGCAGTGTGTTTTGAGTTCTTGTTTTTACTTTTTATTGATTGGTTTAGTTTTTTTTTTTTTAATTGAAGTTGAGGGCTTCACAATGAGCTACAGCCCAGCCCTTCTTATTTTTTATTTTGAGACAGGGTCTCACTAACCTGCTAAATTGCCCAGGCTGGACTCACATTTGGCCATCTGCCTGCCTCAGCCTCCCAGATATTAGGATAACAGGCATGCACCACCATGCCCAGCTTCTTTAAATGGTTTTTATTGTCACAATGTCTGTGGTGGAGACAGAACTTTTCAACTGCTGCAGAACACAGGGCCTTACACAAGACTCAGGACATTGTCCACATCTTTTAATCTGAAGTACCTGGATAACCTAAATGGAGTCTATAATTTAACAAAATTCAGTAGAAAAGATTGCCCTGTTTGAATTTGTCTTTTTAACCAGGACTGGTGGTAAGACAGTGAAAAGGACACTAACCATGATTTAGGAGCCTGAAGAACCAGGTCTTGGGGCTGGGAATTTAGCTCAGTGGCATAAGCACCTGCCTTGCAAGCAGGCTGTCGTGAGTTTGATCCCTGGTACCGATAAAAAGGAAAAAGACAAAAAAAAAAAAAAATTAAGAACCAGGTCTTGCTGGAAGGGGACTTTGGCCGCTTAATTCCTAGCACCTGAACTTCCTCTGTAAAGGCGGAGGGGAGAGTGCAGGATTGGGTTCAGTGACCCCAAGGTGTTTTCCTGGTCTGTGCTTTCTCCCAGGACACAGCCTTCACTTCGGGAGAAAAGTTTTAAGATGATTCATGGTATTTTACAAGAATTTTTAGTACTTGCCAAAATAGTTACTTCTTTATTTCTTCCTTTCTTTCCTTCCTTCTTTCTTTCTTTTATTGGTAGTATTGGTGTCAAATCCAGTTTCTCCTGTCGATGAGCTGCACTCCTGGCCCCAAAACTTTTTGGGGTTGTGGGTAGGTTTGAGACAGGCTTTTGCTACAATGTAGTTCGGGCTAGCCTTGAACTCACTCAGCAGTCTTCCTGCCTACGCCTTCCAAGTGCTGGGATTATGGGCATGCACCACCACACCTGGCATGGCCCCAACACTGCCTCATCTCTCACTGATTTGATTTGTTTAGCTTTATGAATAAAAATAATCAAAAGAAATGTAGAACTATGGGAAACCAACATTCTTGGGCTATCTGCGGTAAACACTGAAGTAAATATCCCTTCCATATCCCCTTTCTGCTTGTTTGTTTGTTCCCCAGACGCAATGGCGAGTGGAGCCAATCAGCAGACACAGTCTCTGACCAAACCTGCTTTCACCGAGGCCCAAGCCTCTGCACTGGTGGAATCAGTATTTGGGTTAAAAGTATCAAAGATCCAGCCACTTCCGAGCTATGATGACCAAAACTTTCATGTTTACATCTCAAGAACAAATAACACTGCAGATGGCCCTGCCGAGTATGTCCTCAAAATATGCAACACTGAGACCAGCAAAAACCCAGATCTGATCGAAGTGCAGAATTGCATCATCATGTTTCTGAAGGCAGCTGGGTTTCCAACAGCGTGCGTGTGTCGCACTAAAGAGGGCAACACTACCTCGCTGGTATCCATAGGTGAGAGGCGCCAGTTCTCACATATTCCTGCACTTGGGCTCCCGGTGGAAATGCAGTGTTGGGCACAAGCTTACCATTCCAAGTGGAGCCTTGTCATTTCCCCAGCGTTTGGGAAAAGCCATCGATCACCAACATGGAGATTGGGCCTCTGGTTTGGAAGTGGTTGCAGCCAGCATCGGGGGTGGCTTTTCCACTTAGAAATCATCTGATGGGGAGAACATTTTTTGTTCTCATTTAACCAGAAATATAATCTTCCGTGTGTTTTTTTCAGTGCTGGGTATTGAACCCAGGGGCTTTCACATGCGAGTACACCACCACTGGGCCAAACCCTGACCTAAGTTAAACATTTCCACTCTTCAGAACCGCTGTAGATTCTGGTTCTGTGGTGCAGGAGAAAGAACGAACACAAGACTAGACATGAGGAACTGTAGATCAAGTTCTGTCTTTACCTTGGGCACCCACTTAATTCCCAAAGCTCAGTCCTCAATTGAGATTTGGTCTCCTTTACTCTCAATGACCAATTCTAAGATGTATCTAATCCAGCATGGAGCAACTTGAAATCTGTTTTTTGGAATTTTTTGAAGTTTGAAATCTTGATCATCTTTTATTCCATCATCCATTTTTTTGCTTTGGTTTGGTTTTTTGGTAATGGGGGTTTTAAAATGGGGTCTTGCTATGTATTTCAGGCCAGTTTTGAACTCATAATGTAGCCCAGGCTGGCCTTGAACTCATGGTGTTCCTCCTGCTTCAGCCTCCCAAATGCTGGGATTATAGGTGTGCACCACTATGCCCGACCTCTGTTCATCCATTCTTAATTTGCATGTTTCCAAATAACTGAAGGATGTGGTCCTGTGTTACAAACACAGGTTGTGGGGCTGAGGATTTAGCTCATCAGCATAAGCACCTGCCTTGCAAGCAGGCGGTAGTGAGTTTAATCCCCAGTACCGATAAAAAAGAAAAAGACAAAAAAAAAAAAAAAAAAAAAGAACAAACACAGGTTGTACCACAGTTGGCCCCTGAAGAAGCCTTATTTATTTATTTAGGGTCTCACTTGTAGCTCAAGCTAACATCAGACTCACTATGTAGCCCAGGCTGGCCTCAGTCTTGAAATTCTCTTGCCTCAGCCTCCTGATGAAAGGTATGTAACACCATGTCCAGCTAGAATAGTCAGTTCTGTATAAGCATAGAATTACTAAAGACTGTGGGTCCAAGGGATTGTCTAGTAGAAACCTCCCTACAGAGCTGAGGTGCAAGGAGCTGGGCTTATGTTCATGGGCCATAAATGCCAATTCTAAGGTTCTTGAATTGGCACCTGCTTGTGTGTCAGCTTAGCCCTGCTTCGTAGCATGCAGCAAAGTAGGTTTTGGTTAGCACATTTTTCTCCTCTTCAGTATGTTTTTAACAGTGGTCAGGTTAGTTTCTAGGGTTTTGTTTGTTTGTTTGTTTGTTTCCCTTTTTAGAGAACAGCTGAGAATGCCGTGTATCATTGCCTCCATCTAGATAACGGCTCTGGAACCAAAAGCCACCTGCTGAGGCTGCTGACCTTCCTCCCGGGCAGCCCCGTGGCCCAGACACCCACGAGCCCTCCGCTGTTATACGAAATTGGGAGGCTGGCGGCCACGTTGGATAAGACACTGGAAGTAAGAGTTTGGGTTTTATTTTGTTTATGAGGGATTTTTGTTTATCTAATCTTTAGAGTAAACTCAGGACCAGATTCTCTTCTTACACACGGTGTTTCCTAACATGCTTGCAGAAGCAAATGGGCGCTAGGAGTGTTTTAGGACAGCGAGGTTCCTCCCCCAGTCTGTGCTTTACTGTGTTGGTCACGGAAAAATAGTCTCTACTCACAGATTGGGACCTGAAGTTTTCGTCCAGATGGAGCACAGTCTGCTGGACCCCTGTATGAGGCAGTAGCTGAGTCACAAACAGATTAGCAGGGCTGCAAGTGTAGCTCGATGGTGCTCTTGGCAGGCACAGGCCTCTGGCTTCAGTCACCAATATGGAAAAAAAAAGAAGGAAAAGAAAAAGAAAAAGATTTATGCTAACAATATTTTGATTCCAGATAAACAGTTTGCCCAGTATTTTTCAGACCCAACCACATAACATCTTCATTTATTCAGTAAACGCTAACTGAGTTTTGGTTGTCTATTGCTGTTTTAAAAACATCCCCAACTTACTGACTCAGACCAATAATGGCTCTGAGGGTTGGCCACGTAGCTCATGTCACCTCTGGAGGATTAGGGCCTAGGTGCAGCAGGGTCTCACTGGAGCCCACAGGCCTTCTGCTCTCCAAACGGCTCCTCTGACCATGGGGTCTCGTCCTTCAGTGAAGCCCCAGCATCCTTGTAAGGTGGCTCTTGCCTTCCTAGGGACGGGGTTCCCAGAGGACGTGACTCATGGATACATCCTTGCCAGGCCTCTGTTTGAATCATGCTAGGTAGCATCCCATTGGCCAACATGAGTAGCAGGCTAATCCAACATCAGCTGGCACACCCACATGGTGTGAACCCAGCAGCATGCTTCAGAGGCCCAGCACGCTTGGTCCTGGCATCACTGTTTCATGCAGGTGCCTCCGGTCAGAGTAGAAGCTTCTCAAAATAGTGTGTGTTTCCTTATTCATCTTTTACCCTTTCTGTCTGGCGGTGTTAAATGCATGTGGAAGAGGGCCTTGGGAAGTGGCATCTGGGGTTGTTGAGTTAGGAGTGCGAGAGGTAAACAGAAAAGGAGGAAAGGCCTCGCTGCTGCAAGGAAAAGTGCACCTAAATCACAACATCACAGCAGCACCACTTCTGGGTTCCAGAGCCTATGGAGAGCTCCTTGTGGCCCGAGTGTGGGGACTGTAACTGAGAGAGGCAGATTATAAAACCTAGGTCATGTGTGACAGTGAGGACTTTGGACTTGTCTCCCTGAGGATGTGGGCGTTGAAAGGTTCCTCAGTGGACCCCACTTCCTGACTCCATCACTCAGGGGCCAACCGAGCTGCTGGATGGGCAGGAGCCAGACTGGAAACAGCAAAGAGTATGTCTGGGAACTACCTCGGCAGTCACAGGAAAGCTGGTTGAAGGCTTGAGCAACAGAAAGTTTAGGAGTGGCACCAATCCGTGTTGATGACTGATTATTAAAATATAAAAATATTTATAACAATAAATATTTAATTAGGAAGAGGGTTGAGCAGGATGTGGGTTCTAAGTGGCCACAGGACCATCCTAGGACCCAGGTCCCTGGGAGCCTCCATGTCTTGAAAGGAGGAACTGGGTGACAGGAAGGGGAGCCCAGAGAGCGGGTGTGAGAGCGGCTGAGGTCTGTGGAAGCCAGCCTTGAGTCTCACAGGGAAGCAGCTCTGTTCCTCCTCATTCTCCAGCTGGCATCTGCCCACCTCCACCCAACTCCTTCCAGTTTCTTTCCATTCCATTGGAGCTTTAGAAAGAAGGGGAAGGTGGGGACTCTGCCAGGAGTCAAGGAAGAGACAAGACAGGTCGCTCAGCCAATATTCATGGAGTGCTGATTACTCAGTAACTTGAGGCAGTAACAAGTTATTTCCCATGATGTAGGTTGGGAAGGCAGTTTTCTCTACTTATGTGGTTGGGAGCTGTAGGGAGACTTTGGAGAGTTCTAATTCTCTGTATTTAAAGAGACTTCATATTAATTGCCTCCTGGGAGTAAGCAAGCAAATAAAAATAAAAGATTTCTATTTACATTGCCATCTTCATTCAAAGTGTGTTTTTCATAGGACATGTATCTTTGAATCTTGCTTTTTTATATAGTTTGACAGTCTTTGCCTCTTACTTGGGATATTCAGACCATTTATGTTTAATGTGATTATTGATATAGTTAAGTTTGAGTCTGTCATCTTGCCTTTTAGTTATCTCATCTGATCTACCACTGGGCTACAACCCTATCCTTTTTTGTTTTTCACTTTGAGGTAAGTTTACGGAGTTGTCCAGGATTCCTTGAACCCGTGGTCCTCCTGACTCAGCCTCCTGGTAGCTGTAATTACAGGTGTGCATTAGCTAGTTTGAGGATCTTTATTGTTCTCATTCGTGTCTTTTATTGGCTCAACTCATTGTTTTATTATTTTAGTGATTAATTTAGCGTTTATAGAATAAATATTATCATTCTCCCTAGTTATATATTACTTCATGAATAGTATGAGATATGATGAAAAACTATGGTGAATTTTAATTTATTAGAGTAAAAGATACATTGCCATTCATCCCCTTAACAGCCCTTCCCCTCTCTCCTAACACACTCATCCTATTTTTCTAGCCACTTTCTAGAGCACTTCTGGAGTTCTCTTTCCTGAGGGTTTCCCCTCTGTGCTGTTGTCGCTGTTTCAATGTCCCGAATCATGATTTTGAGTTTGATGGAACCAGATCTAATGAACAAGGTGGATGAGGACACAGCACCATGATTTTATGAGCCTGCTTTTTCCCTTTGCATTTGAAGGCATTCACCAAAATTTTAGCAGCAGCATTCACCAAATATGTGATCATACCTTACAAAGGCACAAAAGAGCGCCTCCCGAACTGCCTCAGGATTGGCAAGGATGATGGGATAAATGTGTTGGAAATGAAGTGTGTCTTTTAATGTAATAAATATTTTTTATTTAAACACACCTTATTTTTTTGATCTGCCCTTATAGATGAACCTCACAGTAGTGTACTTCTGTGTCTTCCCTCCTGGCCTTTACACTATCATTGTCATACATTTTACTTATAAGTCCCATAATATATGGGGCGTGACGACACATGTGATCCTAGCACCTGGGATGCAGGGGTAGGAGGATTGCTGCAAGTTCAAAGCCAGCCTGGGCTACAGAGAAAGACCCTGTCTGAGGGTGACAGAACCACATTATTGCTGATACAATTTCTGCTGTGTGTCCAGCCACCTGCTGTGCTTTGCAAGTTGTTAAGTTGCCTTGTGGGAATAGGAAGCCTTTGAGGGAACACAGAAAAGCCTCTTCACTTGGTTCTGCAGTGCATTCATACTTTACCCCCATAGCTCATCTCCTCACCATCCTCTCCCCAGACTTAGAAGGACACAAGTTCTTAGTCTTCCTGGAAGCACCAGGTGCTGCAGGATCTGTGCACCATAACATACAGTGCAGGGTGACAACCTGCAGGTGGCAGAGGTTGGAGCTACTCTGCTGGGCTTGTGACAGCTGGCAGACCTGGGCATCCAGAATGGACAGGAGCTGTGAACAGACAGGACTGGACCAGAACCCAGGCATTCAATGTGCCAGGTGCTCACTGGAGGGAAGTGGGTGCCACTTGGTCCACAGATGGGCTGGAAGTCAGTCTCAGGGAAGGTCCCAGAGAACATGAAAGAAGGACACATGGAGCAGGCTTGTGAGTGTGCTGTGGTCAGAACTCGGCCTGGGGAAGCCAGGTGTTCCAAGTGGGGATGAGTGGGGGGGCAGGGCACAAAGAGGATGAGGAGGCTGCTGGCATTGGTTATCAGTAAGAGCACTGGGGATGCTGTCGGGAATCCAGGCTGGCCTACAAGCTTAGTCTGAGGAAAAAAAGAAGAATCAGGTGGATACAACACACACTGATGAGTATCGACACAGTGTGTTAGGCCTTCATTTCCTGTGTTACTTATTCCACAAGTGATAGATGTCTTGAGGTAACGCTAAAGGAGGCCAAGACCCAGGGTGCTGTCAGCCTGCATGTGGATGGCAGAGCCCGTTGGAACCCAGATCTGTCTGAAAGAGTCCTGAGTTCTTACCACTGCTGCCGGTCCCAGCAGGGAGTCTCTCCTCGGGGCATGGGACAAGAATGCCACCATGTAGGAGGCCCAGAGGCCTCCCCACTGGAAGCCCAAAAACAGTGTTCTAGTTTACCTTTATTTAAAAATAAAGAGTAGGAGGATGAGGCAGGAAGATCATTGCAAGTTCGAGACCAGCCTGGGCTACAAAGTGAACTCAAGACTAGCCTGAACTGCATAGCGAGACCCTGTCTCAAGACAAAAAATTAATTAATTAATTACAAAATAAAAATAAGACTAGAAGGACATGGTGGTACATTTCTATAATCCCAACACTTGGAAGGCTGAGGCAGGAAGATCACCTTGAGTTGAAGGCCAGCCTGGGATACATAATGAGTTCAAGACCAGCCTGAACTACATAGTGAGACCCTGTCTCAAGAAATAACATAAAAATAAGAGCTGCATGTATGCATGGTGAAAATTTCAAAAAGTGCTGAACTATGTAAAATAAAAATGTTCTCTTTCCAACATTTCTCTCTTCCTGGTCACAGTCCCATTCCCTAAAATTCACACACACACACACACACACACCCCAAGCAGAGTTTGAGGCTCTCACTCTGCGGAGTATTTTTGTGATCTTCTATAGCATCTAACACACCAGCCCATAAAGAGACTGAAAACTGTCCTATGAGGAACATGAAAAGGAACTCAAAACACTGAGGAGGCAAAGGCTATTTTGAAGATCCAGAAGCTGGGCATGGTGACACTCCAGCACTCAGGAGGCTGAGGAGGATTGCTGTGAGTTCAAGGCAGTCTGGGCTACATATCGAGACCCAATCTCCAAAACCAAACCAAACAAACAAGAAGGCCCAGAGAGCAGTCATCTGGAGGGCAGGAGGGCTGCTCCAGGGTCAACTGGAGCAGTTGGAGCCAGTGATGTGGATGCCATTGGAGAGGCAGGTTTTAGCTCAGCAAAAGGAAGGACACAGAGCCGTTTCATATAAGGGGAAGGATGTTCATAAAAAAGGCTAGCAAAATATCCAAGAAAGGGCGGGAATTTTAGAGTGGTCAGAAGTCCTCGCCCAGTAGGTGCTTTTGAAAGTAGAGACTTGTTGGGAGAGAAGGAGGCAGGCGCTCACTGTGCTGTATGAGGAGCAGCACCAGGGGGCAGGGGGCAGGGGACAGAGGTGGCAGAAGCAAAGGGTGGGGTTGCAGGGTGGGGGTGGGCGGGTGCCAGGGGCTCCTGGACTGGCAGGCAGGGCAAGGAGAGAGGTGGAAGAGCTCAGGGTGGGGATGAGGGCCAGGGTCTGACAAAGGTGTGAAAAAGCACTGGAGAAGGGCCTCCACAGACACACGGTGGGGAGGCAGAGCCGTGTCACCAAACACCAGGTCCCCTGTGAACGTGGAAGCCTGGCAGTGGGGGTGGGTGTGGATGGCGCAGGTCAGGGGCCTCCGGTCTTTAGAACCCTGGAGTGGGTCATCCTGCAGCGCTGAGCAGGCTCCAGCCTGGTCCCTGCAAGGCTCTTTGTTGCTTTTGGCTTAGACTTTCCATCACCCGAAGTTACGCAGCCTTCATCGGGACGACTTCATCTGGAATCTGAAAAATGTTCCGCTTCTGGAGAAATACACGGATGCCATGGGCCAGAACCAAAACCGCGAGATTGTTGAACAGGTGATTCAGCTGTTCAAGAAGGAAGTAGTGACCAAGCTAAGCCATTTTCGAGAATGTAAGTAACCCGCAGTCAAATACATATTTTTCTTGATATGTATGTGTGTGATATAGGTATATGTAGTTTTGGTTTGGTTTGGTTTTAGCTTTTTTTTTTTTTTTGAGACAAAAATCTCACTATGTAGCCTAGGCTGGCCTCTAATCTCAGTGATCTTCCTGCTTCAGCCTCCTAAGTGCTGGGATTCTCACCATGCCTGGCTTTTCTTGATTCTTAAACTGTCAAATGTCACACCATCAGAAACTATGTATAAAGGATTGACTTAGCTTTCTCAATTCTTAAAACTGCCATACTTATTCCTATTGACTTTGTCACAAATAGTATTTTTATTTTTCTCAAACTTGCTTCATTTGAAGAAGCTTGGGGCTGGGGATTTAGCTCAGTGGCATAAGCACCTGCCTTGCAAGCAGGCAGTCATGAGTTCGATCCCTGGTACCAATTAAAGAAAAATGAAGAAGCTAGGTATGGTGATGAACCGCTGTATAATGCCAGCACTTGGGAGGCTGAGGATGAGGCCAAGTAAGACAGTGTCTCAAAAAGCAAAAGACAAAATAACAACAAAATTGCTACATTTGAAGTTCCTTTAAAAGTTACATGATTGAATTTGCATACTACTTATGTATGACTTACAAATGATTTATAGCAGCATTTAAAATTTTCCAACTTTATAAATGGTAGGGCATTGTATATTATCTACAACCTGCTCTGTTTAATTCAGTTTGTGTTTCAGATTTTCATTAATATATATAGTTATAGTTTATTTAGTGTCTTAGTTTTCTCTAGTTGCTGACAAAATATCTGACTCCCAAGATTAAGGAAGGAAAGGTTTATTTAGCTCACAGCTTGTGGAGGTTTCAGTCCATATTCAGCTGGCTTCAAGGCAGAGTGGCCTGACACAGGGGAACACTTCAAGGCAGCAGAAGACAACAAAAACATCCAGAGCAAAAAGACGGGAGAACAGTTCTCTTTTTCTCCCTTATACTGTAAGCAGGCTATCCCTCACCCCACCTCACCCACCAGGACAGGTGTTGCAGTTACACCATCTCTGTGCCCTCCTCTTGCACAGGCTCAGGATGTTTACAAAGTGAGGACCCTGGCCCCCTGCTGAGATAAACATCTAAACTTCTCAACTTGACACAATATATCAACCATTACATTTAGTTTACTAGTTTTAATTGTGAATATCCCTTAATTTATTTGAGCATATCATCGCTTTTTGTCCTTTCTTGCTGATGGAGCAACAGGCAGTGATTCCCTGGTGGAGATGGAAGCAGCCCTCCTGCCCAGTAGTCAGCACTGGTCAGAACAAGGCCCCAAGAGCGGCCCAGAGACACCAGGGTGGGTGGGTGGGTGGTCTGTTCTGCATTTGCTTATTTTATGTAAATATATATACAAGTGTAGCAGAAAAACTGCGTTGTTTCTTTCCCCTGAAAAATGTTTTTCCTGCAGTTTTTATCTCATTAAAATGGTACCCACATTCTCCTCATTTGGTAAAGAAATTAATCTAGAAGTCATGGGCCCAACTTTGTTCTTGCTCTCACATCGGACATCCTATCGAAGCAGATGCATTTTGCCTTTGAAGTCTACCTGCCTTCCACCCTCTCTTCCTGCCTTCACACCTATCCTTAGCCCAAACCACCAGCGCTAGGGAGCCTCCTGAAGGGTGTTCACATGACAGGGTGTGTGTGTGTGTGTGTGTGTGTGTGTGTGTGTGTGTGTGTGTGTGTGCTGCTTCTCGTTTGCAAGATTAGCCAAGTTGCATGTAGCAATAGTTTGTTAACTTTTATTACTATAGCATGTCTTACTCATAAACATGCTGCACATTATTCTTTTTAAATTTTTATTAGGCCATGTTTGCAGGACATGTGATGACATTCTCTGTGGGGAGCTGGTGCATATACATACATAAAAACATGTCGTTTTTTTACATCCTTTTCCTCTCCTTTACGTCCTGCCTCCTTCCTAGCTCCCCTTGCCTTTTGCAAAAAATCTTTTCCTTTTTTTCTATGTTCCTTCTTTTATTTTGCTCCTTAAATTATTTATTCTTTGAATTTTTCATACAAAAGAAACTATGTAATATTTAAGCTTGTGCATTTGCTTTATTTCACTTACATGGTCTCAAGATGTAGCCATTGTCCTACAAATGACTCAAGTTTATCTTTCTATACAGCAGAGCAGTTCTACCTTGTGTATAATGCCACATTTTCTGTATATATTCATCTTTTGATGGACAAGTGAGCCACTTCCAAAATTCAGCTATTATGAGTCATGCTGTTACAGACTTAGGTATGCATATTATCTTGAAAGATATTTGGAGTGTTTTTCACTTTTTGCTATTGGGAGTAGTGATGCTCTGAGCATTTCTGAGCCCAGACTATATGTTTATTAATTTGCTGGTTTGATATGTAGGAATAGGATTGCTAGGTCATAGAACATGTCTGTGTCAACTTGACTGGATAACAGTATCAGACAGTTTTCAAAAGCAAATGAAATTCTCATTCCCATTGCCACTACCAGGTGACCAGGTGCGTCCAGCAGATAAAATATATAATGAAACATACATATGCCTTTTCCTTTTTTTTTTTTTTTTTTTTTTGGTATCAGGGATCGAACTCATGACTGCACTTGCAAGGCAAGCGCTTATGCCGCTGAGCTAAATCCCCAGCCTATGCAATATATATGTATACTTTAACATTTTAACATTTTTAAAGGGCAAAAAGAAAAAAAGAGGAAAAGCAATCCTTAGGATGTACATGCTTCCCTCAATATGTCAGACTTAAAATTTTTGCCAGTGTGATTTGTGTAACAGCTTCTTACTATGGTTTTAAGTATATTTCCCCAATTTTGACCACGTGAACATACTCTTGTGAAATGCCTAAATTTTTTTTGCCTACTTTTCTACTGGAATGTTTTTTCTTTGTTGGTAGAAGCTCTAAGTATATCCTAAAAGGAAACACTTTTTTTTTTGTACTAGAGATCAAACTCATGACCTAGTACTTGCCAGGCAAGCATTTGTGCTACCTAGCTAAATCCTCAGCCCTGTAAATATATTCTAGACAAGTCCTTTGCTGTATGTATTGCAAGTATTTTTGGCTTGTCTTTTTATTCTATTATGTGTTTTTGTGAAAAAATCTTTAATTTATTGTTTCAAGTACATTCATCTTTTAGTTCATGGTTAATAAAGCATATTGGGGAGACTATTTTCCCCACCTTATGGCCAAGAGCTATTCTCCTATATTATTTTCTTAAAATTTTATAGTTTTTGCTTTTTACATTAGCTCTGCAATCCATCTGTAATTTATTTAGTGTATTGTATGAGTTTTTATTATGGCTTGTACATTTTCCCTCCACCTTTTGTTGAAAAGTCACCCGTTTTCTTCTTCATTGTAGTACTAGAGAGTGAACCAAGAGCCTTTAGACTGAGCTGCATCTCCAGCCCTTTCTCTTTTATTTTTTAATTGGAGACAAGGTCTAAGTTGCCCGTGCTTGTCTTGAACTTGCATTGCAGTCTGTGTGCCTTAGCTTCTCAGAGTGCTGGGATTACAGGCATGGACCGCCATGCCCAGCTTCCTCTGTTCTGTAGGACCGCCTCTGTGGTAAATCAAATGTTTCTGTCCTTTGCAGTCTCTAGTCTGTTTGACTGTGTCTACATCCATTTGGCACTGTGTGTATCAGTGGCATCAGGTTAAGGGCGGCAACAATTAACCCTCATACTATCGTAGACCACAATAACAAAGGTTTCGCTCTAACTCAAGCTGCACATCTATCATGGATTGGCCAGGTCACAGGTTCTATCCCCAGCACACCTAAGCGAAAAAACAAACAAACCACTCTGACTAGGATTGTCTGTTGTTTTTATTTCTGTCAGACTTTGCTTCCTATAGTTTGGATCCATTGGGATACATCCTGATTTTTGGATTGTGCAGTTTAAAATTTTCACATTCCAGTTTCAGCAGTGTTCACGGTTGTGCTGCTCTTGTGCAACCACTGGAATGGTTTAGGATGCTGGAAGAAATCAGCATTACACTTGGAAAATAAAATCACATTTTTGTGTCACCTATTTATTGTAGAATATATGATTTGATGGTTTTGTCACCTGCAGACAAACCTAATCTTATACTCATCCTTAGTCAATGGCTTAAATTACTGCTTCCCAAACTATCCACATAAAAGACAAGTTCAGGTTTCACCTCCCAACCACCTACAGTCTGACACTAGTGTGTGTGTGTGTGTGTGTGTGTGTGTGTGTGTGTGTGACCCTGTCACCCTCAGGCTGCTGCAACTACCTATCAGACAAAACTCAGTGGAGCTGCTCCATGCTCCATTTAGTGACACAACGCCACCAGCTATGCTCTTGTGGTCAGATTGCTATAAAATGTAAACATTCTCAGCTTCTGTCCTTACCTTGTGCATGTCAGTAATATTTTGTAGACCAGCACAGCCACAGATCCCATGCTGAACAGTAGCACTGGCTCAAAATGCCATCTACCTCGGCCATCAAAAACTGGGGACGCTACATTGTCATCAGACTGGAGGCTGTATCATCAGCTGCATGAAGACATATATAAAAGCGCACACAGACCATTCCAGGACTCTCTGCTTCTGTTTTATTTTATTTTATTTTAGAGAAAAATAAAACAATTTCAAAACACAACAATTAGGGGATAACAATGGTATATACATTGCACATTGCTATCTTCATCTGCTTCTTATAACATGAATGTGTTTGTATTCATTAAACATTCTTGGTTTTGAGCAGTTCTCCTTTTCATTTTATTCTTCTAGCAGCCAAAGTCAGGATTTCTCATGACTATAAATTCCATCTTCTACCCTTTCATTGATGAGAAGCAAAAGTAAAGACAACCCCAAAATCAGCTGCATCCTTTTCAGAGAAAATGATTTTATTTCAAGAAAAGAAAAGGGGGGGTGGCCTTTTATCTCTAACTGCTCATCAGATTCTGTGAACAGCCTTGCCTAAGAAACAGAAGTAGAGCGATAATGAACTGGGATATAAAGTAACTTCCCACGATTCTGCTTTCAGGCATCAATCATGGCGACCTTAATGACCATAACATTCTAGTCCAGCCCAGCAAGTCAGCCCCTGGAGATGCGGGATACCAAGTGTCTGGAGTTTTAGACTTTGGTGACATGAGCTACGGCTACTATGTTTTTGAAGTAGCGATCACCATCATGTACATGATGATTGAGAGCAGGAGCCCTATACAAGTTGGAGGCTATATCCTGGCAGGGTTCGAAAGTGTTGTCCCGCTGACTGCTGTAGAGAGAAGTGCTTTGTTCCTGCTCGTGTGTAGTCGTTTCTGTCAGTCACTTGTCATGGCCGCCCACTCTTGCCAACTGTACCCAGAGAACAAAGAGTACCTCATGATTACTGCAAAAACCGGCTGGAAGCACTTACAGCAAATGTTTGACATGGGCCAGAAAGCGGTCGAGGAGGTCTGGTTTGAAACTGCCAGTTCCTATGAGGCTGGGAGCTCCATCTGACTGGGTAAGAGTTCACATTTACTGGGGTCATTATGCCATGAGGCCAAACCAAAGTTTGTGAGGGTGGCTCTTGCGTAGAGAAACATGAATTAATGGGATAGATCCATTCTTAATACGGTAGAGCACATGAAACTCTCAAGCAGTGATGGCAAACCTATGGTGCGCATATTGTTGTGTTTTACCTTTAAGGCACAAGATGTAAATGTATGAGTTGTTTTCTTCTAAATGAAAACCTCAGTATTCAAATTTAATTGCAGTCTCAGCACTTTACAATAAATAAGGGAGTTTTGGGTTGCAGTTTGGGCATTAGGCCTCTAAAAAGCTTGCCATCACTGCTCTTAGGTCTGCAAGCAATCGCAGGATCACTTTGTTTTTTTTTTTGAGGCAAGGTCTTACTCTGTAGTTCAGACTGGCCTTAAACTCACTATGTAACCCAGGATGGCCTCAAACTCATAGCAATCCTCCTGTCTCAGCCTCCTAAGTGGTGAGGTTGGGCATGAACTACCATGCCCAGCTTCAGGACCACTTTGAAATTTAAGAATTCAGTTCTCCATGGGGCCATGTGCCTGGAGGTGTGAAACCCACAAACACTACCTTATTCTGAATCATACCATTTGTCAAGGTCTATCCCAGCCTTCCATCAAGACTTCTTTTAAACTTTGAAAGGAATAGTCACATGTATGTATATAAATAAAGTTACACATTATAAATAATTGGACATAAATGCAGTTCTGGCAAACATATCACCTGTTGTATGAAACTGCTCTCTCTTTTCTGTTTCATGGCCATTGCTTTGTGTAATGCATTATGCTTGTGCAGGCATCTCGCCCAAGAGCTATGTGATCATGGTGGAGACCATGAAGAACTTGCTTTTGTCCCCTCCCCACTTCTCACACCGATGGTTGTACCTTTCCCAGAGAAAGGTCTTTGAATGTATATCTTTGCACAATGAACGCAAAAAGAAAGGCTGGAGAAGACACCCGCTGTGATGGCTGTGGGGGTAACACAGGTGTAATTATGTGAGAAAAAGGTTAGCTCTGAGGAGGTGATTTCTTTCAAATCAGATTATATTAGTATATTTTAGATATACATAAAGATCACATTCATCATAGAAAATTTGTAACTATACATGATATAACTTGATTTTCCCCACCCCTACCCTCCCTTTAATTCTTCCTTCCCCATTTACAAGCTTTCTTTCCTTGTCTTCCTTCTTTTCTCTTTTATTTTTTACTTTTTCCTTCTTTCTTTTCCCTCTCTTCCCTTCCTTGATCTCCTCCCCATTTGAACATTTGCTTCCTATTTCAAAATGTATCTTCCTTAAGATACATTTTGGTCCTTATTTGCACTTTGGTATTTCACACCAGAGAAACAATGTGATAGTTACACTTATCTGATTTATTTCAATTAAGAGTATGGACTTAGCTGGATGTGGTGGCTCACACCTGTAATCCTAGCACTCCAGAGGCTGAGGCAGGAGGATCATTGTAAGTTCGAGACCAGCCTGGGCTACAAAGGGAGCTCAAGGCCAGTGTGAGCTGCATAGCAAGATCTTGTCTCAAAAAGACAAAAAAAAAAAAAAAAAAGAGTATGGAATCAAGGTGCATCCATATTCCTAAGAATGTCTCAAACTTATTTATGGCAGAGTAATATTCCATTGTATTTAAAAAAAAAAACCACATCCATTCGTCAGTTGATGGGCATTTGGCCTGTTTCCAAGATTTGGCTATTACAAACTGTGCTGCTATAAACATGGGTGTGCACGTATCATTGGGATATGATGCTTTTCTTTTGGAAAGATACCCACAAGGGGAATAGTCCTAGTTTTTTGAGGAATCTCCATACTGATTTCCATAATGGTTGCACCATGTCTATATGCCACCAAAAGTAGAGAAGGGGTCCTTTTTCCCCACCATCCTGCCAGCATTTTTTATTGGTTAATTTCTTGATACTAGCCATTCTTTCAGGGGTGAGACATGAGAAGATGATTGAAACTGGAACTTCCAAGGTAGATGCTAGGAGACAGTAGAGCTGAAAAGCAGCATATTAAGACCTCCAGTTAAGATCATTAATTGACTCAGAGCCAGGGCTTCGAGCAGGTTTTTTGATGCAGTCCACACTCCTAACCACTGCAAAATATTATACAACTGACTTCCTCTGCCTCCCCTCTGGCTTGTCCTCGCTGCATGCACACACTCTCACACACACACACACACACACACACACACACACACACACACACCACACGGCAGGGGGAACCAGTGAGGTCACGCACTTGAAATCACTTGCGCTTCTCAAATTTAACTTGACCATTAAGAAAACTGCAGGCTAGGAAAACGGACTGAAATTTTGTTCACTCCCAAATCACTGTTCATCCTCCTCTGTAATGAACTAGAACAGATTTCCCTCTTGATTGCTGTGGTGGTTTAGATCTAAACTGTCTTCCAAACGTCTCTGGCGTGTGGAAGGTGACTGGGTCATGGGAATGCTACAGTGGATTCAGTAATCAGTTCAGCCTCGGACTGGGTGTCAGCAGGCTGAGCCGGGTTGGAGGTGGTCTCTGGGGCGGGACTAGGATGGGCGTGTCCTTGTCCTCAGCCCCGCCCTTCTCTCACTGCTTCCTGAATGCGAGGGATTAAGTTTTCCTTCAGGAGGTCCTTCCACCATATTTGTGTCTTGGAGCCAGCCAACCAGACAAAAACTATGAGGCAAAGTAAATCTCTCTTAAGACACGGATGTGGAATATTTTGTCCCAGTGACCGGAAAGTCACTAATTACTTATGTTAACATGGATTTCTTTAACGAGTTCCTATTGCTGATCACTACTTTAAAACCTATCTTTCTTTCCTTCCTTTTTGGTGGTACTAGGATTGAACTCAGGACCTTTGCACTGAGCTGTATTCTCAGCACATCCCCTCCCTTTTTTGTTTTGAGATACGTTCTTGCTAAGTTGCCAGGGTGGGCCTGAACTTGTGATCTTTCTGTCTCTGCCTTCCAGTGTGCTGGGATTACAAATATGTATCTGGACACTTGGCACTATTTAAGTACATGTTACACTAAAATGATATTTTACTGCTTAGAGTTTGTTCTAGCTGATCTTTAATCATCAGTTGCAATTTCATAAATTCTTTGATGGCTGTGATGGCTAATTTTAGGTGTCCATTTGACTGGAGTAAGGGCTACTATGATAGTGGATAAAGCATTCATTTGGGGTGTGCCTGTGAGGATTCTGAATCAGGGGACTGAGTAAGGAAGACCCCCTCACCAATGTGAATAAGCACATCCAGTCCATGAACGATGATCTAATCTTCCTTCTGGTGTTGGGACAGCCACCTTTTTATGGCCTTGGACATCAGAACTCCAGGTTCTTGCCCTTTGAACTCCAGGACTTACACCAGCGGCTTCCAGCTATCAGGTCTTTGACTCAAGCTGATGGCACGTAGTGGGACTTATTGCTTCTGTAATCATATGGCAAATCACCCAATAAATTCCCATAATAAATTTCCTGTCCAATTGGTTTTCTTTGGAAACCTTAACTAGTACAGTGACATGAATTGAATATCAAATCATCTTCAAACCAAGCACCATGACAGGCCCCTAGCATACCCTCTGTAAAGATCTGTTGAATGAACTGCAAGAATGAAAACAATTCAAGTGCCAGGTTCTGGTCTTTTCCATTAATAAAGAAAAAAACAGATTTTAGATTTAGGAATCAATGCCAAATATCTGGTAAAGACATCTGGCTCTTGTCTTTTTCTGTCCAGATATTTATCTTCTAGATATGACAATGAAGCTTTATTTTCTTGTATTCTTATCCTTAGTTTCCTCCGCTGATATCCTTCATATTAGAGGCAGGTTAGAATCTGTTACAAGTATTGCTGTGTGACAGTTTAGCTAAACACTGAGAAAAAACTTCAGTCATGATGTTATTATCTCATGGGTCATGAACACAGGCCCACAGACGGCTTGTCTCTGTTCCACAATACCCCAGGTCTTGACTGAAAAAGACTTGGAGGCTGAAAGAGTTGATGCCTATGAAAACTGAACACTGGGGACCAGGATCATCTGGAGGAATCTGCACTCATCTATGTGGCAGGTGATGCTAGAACCACATCTGACATGTGACCAAACATCTCTTCACATGGCCTGTGTTTGCTCACAAAAATGAAGGGTCATCCCCAGAGGACAAGACAGAAGTATATTACTTTTTATGGCCTATTCTCAGAAGTCACATTATCACCTCCGGCTCACCCAGTTTCAGGGCAAGGTGACACAGAACCTTTGGTGGGAATTACTGATGGCACACTAAAGAACATGATGGGTGGGAGAACTTGAGGCCTTATCAAGCTAACAGGTCATTGAATCTTGACTTACTATTTCCAACAGGAAAAGTGTGGCATCAAAAGCATTCTACAACTTGGCCTCAGACGCTTGTCCTCCTTTACTTCCTGTATTCTCTCTCCCACTCTTCCATTCAAGCCAGACTGAACTAGTCTATCACCTAAACTTGTCACACTCATTTTTCTGCTCTTTTATTTCCATAGATCCTCTTTCTTTGACCTAAGAAAGTCTATCTTTCACTTAAAACTCAACGTTTGCTGACCTCTGAAGAATGAACCAAGGTGGGAAAGCAGGGGTTTCTAAAGGTAGCTTAAATTAGGGAACCCGAGGATGCTTCAGAGCACTGCCTAGGTGCAACCCTATGCTAAGTCGCCTCTCTACTTGGGAAGCAGAGTTGACAGTAAAGACTTCAAAATGCACCTCACTCCAGGCCACTTCACGGTCAAAGTCCAGATCCCAAAGCTTTGCACCCTACATGGAAAGGATAAACTCCCAATGCTCTGAAATAACTTATTATTAACCCAGATCTAGCCAGCCCACTAATCCCACCCCAAGCTAAACAAATAGTACTTCACATAGCTGTACAAAAAAAGGTTGAAGAGATGGATACAGCACAGCACAACAAAGATAAAATGCTGTGTGTACAATGATGCAGGGTATTGCTTTAACTAGGTTGATGGAGTAAGTTCTTCCAAAAGTGCCAACCCATCATGATTTATTTTATACATTTTAAAAAGGCAAATACCAGCCAGGACTGATGGCTCACATCTGTAATCCCAGCACTCAGAACACTGAGGCAAGGAGAATCATCATCACGAGTACGAGGACAGCCTGGGCTACATAGTTCAAGGCCAGCCTGCACTGCACAGCATAATCCTGTTTCAAAAACACCAATACATAAATAAATACGCATATATCAGCCATAAAAGTGGAAGCCATATCTGAGAACGGAGCCGCTGAGCAGAAAGTTGTCTTCTGTGGCTGGGGCCAGTATGGGTATCATGGCTGGACAGGCAGGTGACTGAGCTCCGTCTGTACTACTGCTGTGCTAGGTCTGCGCCTCGTGAAAAAGTGAAACAGCGTAGGGCGCAGGTTGAAATTGCTGATGCCCCCAGGCAGTGTCTCCCAGCACTCCTCCGAGCCTATCCGGCCCTGCACCTCCGGGAAGTAGGTCTGCGTGGCACGCTCCACCCCAAATCCTTTGCGTGCGCCGCCTTCCAGGTTTATGAGTGCTTGTCCCGCTTCCCTGGGACTTCCGGGTTCTCACAGTCCCGCCCCCAGCTCTGCGCATGCGCGGCGGCCATAAGGGAAGCGGTGCTCGGGCAACGGCGTTGGATTTCGCTTCCTACGGGAGTAAAACGGTCCTTGCAGCTCTCGATTCTTCATTGTTTTCTCTCCGGTGAGAATTGTCCACCCCGAGGGCTCGCAGGAGCGTGGGCAATGTCCCTTAAGCGGGGTTCGTGAAAGTTAAGATAGCCGGTCGGCCTGCTGCAGCCACCCAGAGGCTGTGGGACGATGACTGTGCACCCGCCTTCGCGAACTGGCCCCTGCCAGTCGCCGTTGCTTGCTTTCTGTGGCCTGGATGGCAATATCCCGCCGGGTCCACAGAGGAAGGTGGCCAAGGCCGAGGGGTCGCGAGAGGGCCCAGGGGTCGGGGTGCCTCCGACTCTGATGTCCCATTGCCAACTCTCAGAGCACCGCGGGGTATGCGGGATAAAGTCGCGCTGTGGCGGCGTCGCGTGCGGAGATGCAGCTGGTAGTATTTTACAGACAGATCGGACCCCCGCCCCGCCTCCTTTTTGTGCCTCTCTGCCACGCTGCGCTCGATCCCCCACTACCACACCTGCCTGTGGGAGCCGAGCCACGACCAGTTGCCTGCCTCATGCTTTCGCCAGCCTTTGTGATCTTTGTAAACGGCCAGTTTCTGTGGCCCTGAGCTCAGTCTTGGTAGAGCCCCCCTGGCTAAGACCCCTGCTTATGTTTCCATTCCTGATTCTCTGAAATATTTGGGAATATGGGTTTTGGACCCAGGTTTGGTTTTTCTACTGAATCACATTGAATCTTGGTTGTTGTCTTGAATGAAGATGATAACCCAGGATTACTGGACCCGTCCTCAAGTTTAGGGCTCCCCTGCCCTGGTATCCTTTGCTCATGCTTTATCCTTTGCCTGCAGTGTCTTTCTCTCCTTGGCTCTTTTCTGCCTTTTAGAACTGAGAGTTTTCAATTTGTCTGCCTCACCACCCTCATTAATTTAGTGTCTGCTTTGTAAGAAAAATACTAGATTTTTTTCTATTTCTCTTTCCACACTACCTTCGATGCCTCCTTCCACTTTGCTTTATAACCTGTGTTCCTCACAGCTGCCTGCCAGATCATAAGCTCTGAGGATAGGGATTGGATTTGTGTATCCTGATGTTCCAACGTCTAGATAAATGCCCAGCACTTAGCAGGTGCACAGTAAATGTTAGCTGAGGGGAATGAATAAAACAGATGTTTAAAGACAGGAAATGCCTCTTAAATTGTGGATTTTATTTTAATGATGGATCCTTTTTTCTTTCTATAGGAATTTTCTAAAGTTCAGAAGCCATGGTGAGTTAACAGCACAAGCTAGTAAACTTAGCTGAGGAATAGTATTGCTTTCACTCAGCTGCCAGACTTGCATGAGAAAATTGAAATGAAGGAGAAGGAGTCAGTTTGGTGTAATCTTTATCAGCTGTCTCCCACACACAGCTTTGCATACTATACATTTTGTGATTTTGTGGGCTCGCGGGAATTGGCTAATTATCAGTGGGTAGTAATTACTTATATGTTTTTCTTTTGCAGTCTCGAAGATATGACTCCAGGACCACTATATTTTCTCCAGAAGGTAGAGCAGAAATTGTTCAGTTTGCCCCAAGTAAAGATTTTGTGTGTATGGTAGGCTTTAACCACTTAGTTCTTTGCCCTGAATGTCTTTGGGCCACATGACTATTTACATACTATCTTGAGCATCCCTCAAGCAGGAGTTGAATGTTTTAAGATATATCATACACAGAAAAATTTTTGAATAAATGATAAAATTGTCATTTTAGATTCTCTATTGTCTTAAAAATTTAACCAAAAAAATGCAATTTTTGGTCATTCTGTGTTTAAATAATTGTCCCAATAAGTGGTTAAAAGGAAAAAAAAATCAAACATTTCTGCAGTTAGTAAGTTTGTTCTTTTTTTACATTTTTTTTTTTCTTTTTTCTTTTTACTGGTACCGGGGATTGAACTCACGACTGCCTGCTTGCAAGGCAGGTGTTTATGCCGCTGAGCTAAATCCCCAGCCCAAGTTTGTTCTTTTTGTACTTAAAAGTAACTGTGGTCACTAGGGTGATAACATCATGCCTCATAGAAGAGTCAGAGTGGACCTTTTATTGGCAGCCTGCTAGTGTCCTTGTGGATTCCTCGTGGACCAGGGTATGGGAACACCAAGGAGAGTCCAGGCTTCTCACTACTTGTGTTTTGTAGGTCGCTTATACCAAGTTGAATATGCCATGGAAGCCATTGGACATGCAGGCACCTGTTTGGGAATTTTAGCCAACGATGGGGTTTTGCTTGCAGCAGAGAGACGCAACATTCACAAGCTTCTTGATGAAGTCTTTTTCTCTGAAAAAATTTATAAACTCAATGAGTAAGTGATATTTTAAGAAGAGTTTGACTATTTTACTTTCTCACATAAGTGGGATCTGCCTGGCTTGGGGAGAGTTCTTCTCAATGACATGGTAGATTTGAACAGATTTTTGCTTGTGAAAAACGTGTGCTTTTATTCTGCTTGAAACTGTGAAGCCAAGAACTACCCACTATCCCTTTTTACTTTCAGAAGTATTATGTCTAGCTACTTTTTTTTTTTTTTTTTTTTTTTTTTTGCAGGTTAGGAGGTGGGAGGTGTCTGGGAATGGATCCCAGGGTCTCATACATTCCATACAAGATTCTACCACTGAGGGCTGGGAATGTAGTTCAGTGGCATAATGCCTGAGTTCCTGAGTTCAATTCTCTGTACCCCTGTCCCCCCAATATATCACCGGTACCTCACCACCACCAAATTCTGTCACTGAGCTGCATACCCAGCCCTTACTGTGCCTTACCACTTACTTACGTATTTCTTGGTGTATGTTACTCTTAAGTACAAAACTGAAATA